GCTCCCGGCAGTCCCGGCTAAAAGCAACATCGTTGTCGCGGGGAGAAACGTAAACAAAACGTATCACTCGCGCGCGCGCGAGATAGGTGCGCGTTTACGTGGACTTCGTGGAAGCCGTGGCCCCCGGCGGGGCCCGGGGCGCGCCGCGCGCGCGCCTCGTTTATAACGTCCGCGTCGCCGTGATTTTCTTTCAGTCGCCGAATCGCGCGCATCGCGGCGCAATTTGTTGATCTGACCAGCGGGTTTTTCCTCTTTTCCTCCCCCTTCCCCCTCGCATATGTTCCGAGCGCAAAACGCGTTTGAAAAAAAAAAAAGAAAAGAAGAAAGAGCTCGCACACCGTCGCGCAAGCGCATGCCCGACGCTGCGTCTCGTCGCTCGCCGCCGTGTCTTTCTACTCCGCTCTCCCTCCCCCCGCACCTTCTGCGCCGAGAGTATCCGTGCTCGTTTTACGTTTACCGAGGGTGCGTTATCGGACCTTCGTACGCATGCAGACCGCGATAACGCTCGACGGATTGTAAGAGGCTCCCTCGTCCGGAAACGCCGCATCCTCGTCCCCACGGTAAGATGAATCCTTCTTTTTTTCCCCTCCCCGCCTAATATAGGACAGGCTGACCGTCCGGTCGAGGAATTAGGAGGTTAGGAAGAGCGAGGTCGCGTTCAATTCGCAGGCATAGCCGGCAAGGCCGGCCCCCGAGGCGCTTCTTCGCGACAACTGGACTATTTTATCTACTTTGCCACCCCCGCTGCAAGAAAATTTCTCTCTCGCGAGGTGTTTCAGTCCGCGAGACAGGTATTCTGATGCGAGGCTCTTTTCGATTACGGAGTCTTGAAACCAGTGCCTCTCGGGCGAACCTTGCTCCGAGATGTCTCCCGAGACAGATGAGACATTCTCACATAAATTGACGAAAATTGCGCGCGAAATTGGCACGTGTGTATAATAGATGTATATATGTACGCGTATCGAATACCGAATACGTAAGGCGCATCCAAAAGTGTACGCGACAAGAACCTCGTTCATTTAAAAGTATTATGTGTGCAGCAGAGGAGTAGACGGTGAATTATAATTTCGATAAATAAAATTCTGAATGTCTCATCAATCGGACATATTTTTACGCAATATATGGAAACATGTTTTTTTTAGGATGCAATGCAAACCGCGTGCATAAAAATATATAATTGTGCACGAAATTCGAATTAAGCCTGATGATAGTTTTTGGAAGATGAGTTTTTCAATTCGATAATTGATTATTACGTAATATGCCGGATAAGATTTTCAATAATTTTTCTGAACAGGCTAACCGCACGTATTGCACACCGTATCTTGGAGTTGGTTCTTCATTGTATAACAAGCTCCAATTGTCGCATCGTCATTGTCACGAATCAGCATAAAGATTACTGTCTACAGTATGAATATAAAACGCTGAAACTAAATGAATTGAAAAAGAACTCGTTGCCCACCGTTTCATTTACAGCTGCACTTTTTGCATTTTAATCCTTTCAGCTAGACATTCAAGTTATAATAAAAATTTTTATAAGTTATTAATTTCTTTCTAAAAGTTATACTACGTATATAAATCATCATATTAAAGAATACGATATCCGCTAAGAAAATAACGCCTTCAAGTTTATTAAAACATTATTGTAGAAACTTCACAAAAATAACGGATTATAATAATATAATTTTATATTAAGAGAGTCATGACCGAATATGATAACAATTAAATAAATAGGAAACGTGCCAATATACAATCGGACTGGGTCTTTTGTGCCTATAATATTATTCGCGAGAATGTACATTTCTTCTTTCTATAATAATATTCCTTCTTGCGTGGTAACACCATATTGATATGAGCTAAAGCGAAATAGAATGTTCAAATGATTAAATTTTAAAAGAAGAGAGAGAGAGGAGAGAAACGATAAAATGAGAAATGAGTAAAAAAAAAAACGAGCGGGGCCGTAACAACGGGGCCCGAAAGCCGAGCGTGTCCCGCGCGTAACACGCGTACGGAACGAGAGCGCGCCTCGGTAGGTTTTAACCCTGAGTTCACTCGAATATGATTTAATTTAACCGCGGCTCTCGGCAATACGACCGCTCAATCTATCTCTGTCCACCGACGGACGCGCGCGAGCCGTTCCGACGATCGTTTCTTCCTCATCAGCACACTGTCGGTCTCCTTGGCCTTTTCCTTGGTACGTAAAAAAAAACGCATACCTCCGAAAGCATTCCGCTTTCTCCGAGCGATTATACGCAGCGCGTACGGTAGAAAAATAAGTTAATTAGCAAGTTATTTGCTCACGCTTTTCCAACGAGAAATTTTAAAATAGTGAATGAAAGATAAAGAAGAATGTTTTCTTTTTTATAGTACTTGTTTTCTTACACTTACGGCACTTACGCAGTCAAAGGTCAATCGATTACCTCGCAAAAATAATCGGTCAAGTTTGATCGCGAAGCCACTTAAAGAGAGAGAGAACAATTGAAGAACAAGAAAATTTTTGCAACAACATATACGTATGTAAGAAAATAACGAGGAAATATCTTGTTAAATTTTTAAAAACCTTACCATAACATAGTTTACAACACAGAAATCTTTACAACACAGACCTTTAAAAGATATTCCACACAATTTTTCAAGTCGCTTCTAGACTCTTACATTTAGACTTTTAAATTTGTGCGATGTGTAATCTGGCAAGGTCTTCCGCAAATAACTTGCTGTTTGGTACGCTATATTGACTCTCGTATATTCGTGCGACGGTAGGGACAGATTACAGATTACCCACTAACTATTCGGTTTGGGAGCGACGAGGTCTGGGGAGACCTCGGTGCTCTTTAATGAAATAGCCATCCTGTGCAGTGTGTGTGCAATAAAGTGCAATGAATGAAAGAGCTGTGTATCGCGAGCGTGATATCATCGTGGTATCAAACGCTTTGAAATTATTTTTACGTTGAAAATAATTTTCGTAGATTTGATCTCGTTAAAGTGTGACGATAAAAATTATCTCGTTAAGGTATGACGATAACAATTATCGTATAGTGTGATATCGTTTTACTTACACATTACACCAGATATGTTCCTATTTAAGTCGGAGTATGTAGATAAGTATAACATAGGCTACGCGGTCAACATGACGCTACAAATGCTTCGAAGCATTCCTCTTCTCTTTTCTTTCAATGAAGAAAGAGAAGAAGAACGCTCCAAAGCATTTGTAGCGTCACGTTGCGACCGTAGCCATAATAATGGTTATCAAGAAATTAAATATGCATTAAATGTAGGTACGTATAATTATAGGCATATTTAACGCTTCGATAACTTTTATTACATTATTTATTTATTTCTGTGTAAGTTGAAGTATATATGATTATAATGTAATAACAATTATCAAATATACATATATACGTACATATTTCGACAGCTGTTATTATATTACTTATATACTTATTTTACTTCGATGTATATAGGGATAAATCCAGAGAGATGGTCTCTATGAAACAAAAAGTATCTCAACAGCCGTTTTGGACGCAGATATACGCGAGACGTCACATTTGATGCACGAAGAATGAAATATGCGATATGCGGTGGAATACTTTGTGCAATCTTGTGGCAGCCGTGTAGCAGAGTCATTTTTCACGACCATTATAGTTTAGAGAAATATAGGCGAAGTGTCAGTCTCTTGTGGTGAGATGCGGCCCTTGATCCATATCACGTCGATATCATGAAACTGGCGAGACTCCTATACGTGCGTGGAAAACAGATGTTCCGTTTGCCATGTTAACGTAGCTGCGCGATTATTACGATGAAACGGCTACGCGGTTTTGTCGCGATTTATTTTCCTCGTAAATGCATAATTGGAATTTTTCTTCGAAAGGATGCACGTTATTTCTAGCAGGATATAATTTTCTTCCTCGACGTTTAGTCGTCCATGGGGAGTTTTATGATAATTGGAATTCTTGGATTCGGCATTAATCTTTCGAATCTTCGATTGCACAATTTCAACTTTTGTGCTTGTGACGTCTTAAACGAATACTTACCATACATTATTAGGAATTAGGAAAATACTATTTTTTTAATTAAATAGTTTCTTATGTGTATTATGGATTTTATGTCTTTTGAAAATGTTTAAATGTTATAACAGCGATAGAGTACGCTATTATGTATCAATATTCTACAATACAAATGAAAACATTGAAAACGTGTATCGTTTTTACAAAACAATGTAATCAATTAATTCGAAATTTTTCAGTGAAGTTGAGAAAGCACCCCTACTGTGTGTATAGTCAACATGGCTCCAATTAAATTCATTAAACCTTTGTAGAATTTATCAAAAACAATTGGACAAAAACCTGACGCGTTTAAACGGAGCCACTTTTCTAGATTTGCAAGATACAAAAAATTAGTACTAGAAACAATATTCCGCGTTCCAATTGTAATACACACAATACATATTTTTATATAATAATTAAAATACATAGCAATAGTAAAATAAATACAATTTTACTGTAAAAATATTAGATTAAATTAGAAAAAAGCACATTTTGCTGCATCATGCCTTTTATATCCTCGTGCCAAATAATATGAAAAATTTTGCGCTTTCACAATTTTGCTCGTTAACATTTAGTTTCTAAATTGTAAGAAAACAGCCTTGCACTATTTTTAATAGTACGACTTGCTAGAAGTGGTAAACACCGCAATTAGCGCTCGTACTCTTCCACTTTCGTCAAAGAATACATATATATATTATATATGCACAACGAAGTTCACGTAACGCAATTTGACATTTGCTGGCAAAGTGCTCGAATTATACATTCGCTCAGGTATCGCCTTTATAGAACATCCGCCAATTCGTGTAATGATATTACGAAGTGTTCTTATGCAATAGTTACTACAACTCGCAAAATAGAGACTTTGATGCGCGAAATTTAATAAACTCTGCTCTCTCGAAGACGATAAGGCGATACAAGACCATTCCACTTTTATTCGATCAATAACAACAAAATTACATAAAAGTATATTCTCTTTCTAAGAGGAATCCAGATAGTTTTTACGGAATAATATATGCCATTTGTTGAAAATATATCAGTTATTTGACTTCTTACTCTAATTAGTTTCACTTAACTTGTTTTTATTTGATTAAAGTTTGAATCGTTAATGACTCTTTCTCTAAACGCTCCTGATTTATAGGTTCTTTGATAATTTTATTATAGAAAAATCATTTTTTAAAGTAAATTGAGTTTTTGATGAAATAATAATTAAAAATATGCAATTTATGAATCTACGTAGAATAATTAAAGATTTGAGAATTTAAGAATGCATTGCTATTGTATAAAAGTGATATAAAAATAGTTGAAATAAGTAGTAAATCTCTCTTTTCAAAATTATGAAGCATAATCCTATAATCTCTCGTCAAACGCAGTATCGTTTCCAGAGACGTCAGATGAGCCACTTTGTACGTTTAGATGTAGACAGTGATATTGATTTGGCAAGTACGTCCTCAGAGAGGACAATGGCACTCTATACGTTAAATACAATCGTTCAACGACGCACGGATGACTCGAGTAACCCCACCGGAAAAAGCCAATGCGAAATCATCAAATGCATACGGCAATCGCCAGAGAAAGAAAGAGAGAAGAAAGAGAGAGAGACAGAGAATCGTCGATGGAAACGAAGAAAAATATTCCTACGCGTTGAATTCGTCGATTCAACGAACGCCTTCGTCATCGCGTAAATTTCGCTTGGGGGATCTCAGAGGACCCGTCGCCGTCGCTACGAAGATCCCCGGTCGAACCGCTGTCGTATAAAGAAAGAAAGGCGACGCTTCGCTCGCAAAAAGACTACCCAGTGTCTCGCCCGGAGTCTGAATGCAAATGATTTCATCCCCGACACGCGGCGTTTTCCCGCGTGAAGGGTGGATCCGTGGGTGAGACGGTGTCCGAAAACTAAAGAATCGCGGCGCCAAAGGCGAGGGCGACGCCGAGAAATATAGCGATGGCCGGTGAGATGAGGAGTTGGGGGGTTGGTCTGGCAGTTCTCTCGAGGAGGCAAATGTACGTCGATGGTAATGGTGATGGTGTTCGCTCTTGCGGCCGAGGGCGAAGGAACGATGGCGAGGGGGGATGGCTCTCCTCGCCCCGGTGCCCAGCTGGGCGTGCAACGCGCGCGTATCGTTCTGGCGGAAAGCCCCGTACCGAAAGCTTCGACCGTCTAGTTGTCTCTACCGGCCAAAGGCGTCGAAGTGTTCCTTTGTAATGCACTCCGCCAGCGGAAAGAGTTGGTCGAACGTAATTCGTCATCGCGATGAATAGGATCCTACTCGCAATTTCTCGCGGGCTGACTCATTTGCACTAATTCACACCGAGACATCACGTCGCGGAACTAAAAATTTCCACGTTTCCGATGTTCGAATTAATAGAATTAATAGTTTCGTGAGAAAACCAAATATAGGTTTTCCCAAATTCGCGTACAGCAACTAATTTTTTACAAGTTATTATTATGCTATATCATAATGCTATATAAATTATGATATATATTATTATTTATCTCTTATAGTATTTTTTTTTAATTTTTTAACAAAATTAATATCTTTTTGTCTGGTATAGTTTCCAATGTCTGAAAAGAATGAACAGTAGTAAGGATTTATTATATAGAAATATGAAATTACTTAAATAAATCGTGTATGCCGAAATCCGATTATAACTGATTATTTTGTTTTTGATTGTTGATACAGATTACAATGGCAAAGATGGCAACAACGTTATCTCTGCTTACGGTGTACTTCGTTGTTACGACATTCGCCCTGAATAACGAGGAGCTGCTGGAACAAGAATGCCCCGTGGATTGTCACTGTCACTACTTTCGCATCAACTGGGTGACGGACTGCTCGGACAGCAATCTGACGACCATCCCGTACGACGAGCTCAGCCACAATGTCTATATTTTAGACATGAATGATAACAATATTGCAGACATCAGTCCGTTTCCAGACTCCATTAAATTGAGGCGTCTTCAGATGGCACACAACCGATTAACTGAGCTGACGTACGAATCATTTGCCGGGTTGACGTACCTTCTGGACGCAGACTTCTCGTATAACGCCATTACGCGGGTAGATCCCGAAGCCTTCCGGTAAGCTGATTCGATATCAATTATATTCGCCGGTAATCATTCCACTCTCGGACGAGTAATATAGGTTTTGTCGATCATACGATTAATTCAACAGGGACAACCCGGGTCTAATTACATTGGAGCTCCAACACAATCCCTTGGACGAGGTTGAGGAACCCTTCCTGAATTGCCGCACGCTGCTGTATCTCGATTTGAATTCATGCGGTATCCGCCACCTCAATACGCGCTTCTTCTACAACACGACGAATTTGAATAAGCTCGACCTGTCGCACAATCCTCTGCAAAGGATAGAGCCGGGCCCCTTCGATCATCTGACGAATTTGGAATATCTCAACCTGAACGGATGCAATTTAACCTACATATCGCCCGAGGCGTTTTCCCACCTGGAAAATTTGCGACAATTAGAGATAGGGGACAATAAATTGAAGACGTTGAATTGGAGGAGCGTTCTCACGCCGTTGGTACGCTTAGAACATCTGGATATCCGCAACACCGGTATCACGAATCTACCGGGTGATGCCTTCGCCAAGAACTTGTATCTTGTACAGTTGGTTCTCGCGGACAACGAATTGTGGCATCTGGATGTCGAGGATACGCTCGGCCACAACTTGCACAGTCTACAATCTTTAGACTTGTCGAATTGCAATTTGAAGGACCGCTTATCCGAGGAAGCTTTCAGAAACGCAAGCAAGCTACGCGTACTCAATCTGAGCGGTAATCCAATGTTCGCGAGCGATGTAACTGCCGTTCTGCGTCATCTACCAAAGCTTCATAAGCTCTCCCTCAGCAATTGTAGTCTTCAAAGATTGCCAGATGCCTTCGATGTGTTTGAACACCTTGAGGAACTTGATATTTCCCATAATCCATTATCCGATGCATTCGTCAGTCTTCTCAATCCGTTAAGCGCTTTGGAATACCTAGATATGTCTTATTGTGATCTCGGTTATGTTGGAAATAACACTTTCGCGCAAATGACCTTTCTGAAGCAGTTGATTCTTTCGGGAAATGAACTTCATACGCTGGAAGAAGGATTGTTTGCAAATTTGACGCGCTTGGAAAGCCTAGAGCTCAACAATTGCGACCTCAAGGTACCCCTTGATCCAAAAGTCTTCGGTGACCGTCAATTGACTGACATAATAGAGCTCAAACTTAGTGGCAATCCGCTGATCGTACCCGACGAGGGCTCGCTACTCCCAACGCAGCTCTCCAATTTGGAGATTCTGGACCTCAGCAACTGTGGCATTTCGCATTTGAACAAAAACATATTTGCCACAACGAACAATCTCACTCAATTGAATCTTTCGGGGAACACGATATCTGGTGTGGAAAATCTGAGCTGTCTGAAAAAATTGCGTGGATTAGAACATCTAGACCTCAGTAATAACAACCTACGAACGATCAATCCGAAAATATTCAAATCAAATCCACGCTTACTATCGGTCAATCTCATGGGGAACCCATTTGTCTGCAATTGTTCTATCGCGGATACCTGGGATTGGGCTTTACAGGATAAAGGTGATCTTCATGTGCTTGTTGGCAGCCAACCGGCCAATTTTGAAACCGGCTCCGTAAAACGAAGGAAGACTCTCTCCTGTGCCTACGACGAAGAAACGTATCGAAACTTGATAGATGGCAGTCAGACAACCACGAGTCGCAAACAAACGCCTTCGCGTACTTGGGCTAAATACGTTCGCGAATCTAATTGTAATCGGCGTTTATGATATGCGGTAATCAACTATCAACATCCGATGTTGGACGTCTACAACCGTAAGGTATGTAGACGCAAACAGGAACTTTGAGCAAGTTCTAAACTACTAAATGTCATTGCAACATCGTTATATCAACAAGCCATAAATTAATATAACAATGTTATAAAATTTATATTTCCGTGGCATTATTTTTGTAGTCATAGGATTAAGGCAGACTTGTAATAGTTTACATATTAGAAAGTATTTCCGTATTGAAACGTTACTAAGTCAAAAAATACTCGGTTTTGTATATATATATTGTTCTTTTTTTGTACATAGTATTATAATAATTCTTGTTCTCTCTCACTCTCGTCGATCAAACTACGTCTTCTATTCAATTCAACAAATGCTTAGTCAAATATTAGAATGGATCAGCTGCCAATGATCGACGTTAAATAGAGAAAGTTAAAAAGAGATTCGAAAAGTCAGTGAGAAGTAATTTACTATAATTAAAATTTCACGTATTTATACAAAATGTCATATTTCGCTAAAACAAACTCACATTCTCAAATATAAATTGAATCAAGTATTCCGCATTTAATTGAAATTTGAAACATCTCATATTTATACATTAGTTAGATAAATAGAAAATCAATTTTTTATAACAACCGAAAATAGTAAATATTTTTTTTGTGCATTTAGTGACTGGTTACATTGTAATTGTAAAACTTTGAAACTGCTTGCGAGATATAGGCATGATTGAAGATAAATAATAAAATAATATGTTTAGTTAATAATTACACAACAGATAAAACTTGCGATATGCGCTTGTATCGATAATCACACAAGCGACTTGCAATTGTGTGATCTGTTTCTGTTAAATACGAGTAGATTGCATTAATTTATTCAATTTAAATTTTTTTCACGTACATTTTGATCAAATATATTAAAAATATATAATTATTAATTTCACATTTGTTAGAAATAATAGAATTTATCAATAACGTAATATTTATACTTGCTTAATTGTAGTACAATGTACCGACATAAAAAAATTTTGCGTAAAAAATATTATCAAAACTTTAATTTAATTATAACGTTGACGAAATGTAATTTTACTTTAAATTTATTATACATAAGTTTTTGCAATTATATGTTAACGGATAAAGCGAACAATTCGATGACATGTCAAAAATCAACCAGAAAGATCTGTTATGAAAGGTACATAGTCCAACTTTGCGATTAACAAACGCGCAGTTACATGCAGTTCACATGTACACATACATATGAACACAATTGCGCCATTGCATCCTATAGCGTGTGAGTATGTGGCCATGAAGACTAAATGGTTTCCCCCTATTTGAACTTCACAATAGTCACGGAAAATGCCTGATTACCGCTAAAAGCTGATAGACAACAGTACCTATTTATGACATGGCAAATGCAATAGTTTTGTCTTGTAATTTGCGGTTCGAATTACTCCACGTATCCTGTGGCTCTCTTATTTTTAAGTTAATTAAGTCAGCTTGTCCTACGTTATATAACAAGTGTTTACGATAGATTCGTGATACGTGAAATACACAATTATAAACAAATCCGTAGGCTCTATAAAACTGATATAGTTGATCTTATAAAATTATCTAGTGCATTTGCAGAACTCGCTATATAGACTTATATTTATTAAATTCTGTATTATAAATATGCTAATATCTTTAATTAGAAAGTTGTTCAGAAATTGATGAGGTGGGACCAATTTTCATACTAACCTCTTAATAAATTTTAGCATTTTTTGTTAAATTGTTTTTCAAAAATACTAAATTAATTTAAATCTAATGGAAGAGAGTAGTGTTATTTTAATATATGCGATTCATATTTTTTATTATAAAAGTGTGTTGTTTTTTTTTTAAGATTTATATACGGCATACTTGTGCTGTATCGAGTTTGATTGTCGGAAATATTTTAAAATAATGTTATTACGCGTATATCACATCTTATATTTATATTGTTTGAACTCGTATCAGCTGATACTCAAGATAATTCCTGTTTACTGTTTGTCGTTGCTTATTAAAAGCTATTGTTTGGTTTGAATTTCTGAATTTATAGAACTTTTGTTATTTTAGAGTTTGCTGAATTTTTTTACGAAAATTATGATTTATGTTTTTGTGTTCCACGATTATGTGCATTATAATATATTGTGGTAATACAAAAATTTCTATTTCCCAGGAGCAATGAATATACTATAATCTCGCATTCAGGAAAATTATCTGCCCTCCTTGCTGTGCCGAGAATGTTAGCGTTAATATTGCACGATGTGAATACAATAAGTTGAAACAACTTTTTTTCACATTGTCCTTTACGCGTTTTCTTATAAATATCTATTTCAACAATTCAACGCTTAGACGATAAGTCGACTTAGGTATCTAAGATTAGCCAAAGTGAGAGAGAAAGGGGGAGAAATATAGAAAGTAAAATGGTGAAAAATATAAAAAAGGATGCGTTTCTCGCTTTCGCACTTGATCGAGATTAACCAAGTCAAATCTTGCGTATGTGCTCGATCGTGTAAAAGGAATCGGCGATCGTTCTCATCTTCGGATACATTGTATTGTACAATGCGAAAGATCGCGTGCTGAGCCATTTTCATTTATAATCACGAAATGTAAAAGACTGTTGTTTAATAAAGCCGTCGTTCTCTTGGTATATGTGCCAGCTTCTCCTCGTCTTCATCATCGCGATGAAACAGTTGCCCCTTACAGGTCAATCACGGATAACCAGCGCGGATAATCTAAATTGCATCGTGATATTGACGCTTATATACGCCGATGTAACGATAAACCCTATCGCCTTTATGGATACCTTTTGACAAGTTGCTGTTAACAGAGAGGTGCTCTGACAAAATTGTCCAGTAACGTTTTTCATGCGTTGTTAGGATATTATAACAACTTGGTCTTGTTTGAAATTAATGTTACAGCTGGTTAATATTGTTTTATTAAATATACGCATTAACGTAAATGTAGCAAAATTAGTTGAGAAATTATTTTCCGAATTTTTAAAGTTCTCAAATATAGTTTTTAAGAAAAAGAGGGAAGAGGTAAATTTTGAGTAACGCAAAGCTAGTGTTTTAGGTATTAACTACACGCGATGTATACATGTGTTTATAGTCACGTTATATAATTTGCAAACTGTTGATACATTCACGTGAAGTATGCAAGTAATTTTCATCGACGTATATCCAAAGATATGGGCCCTGTGGACAAAGAATTATTCCTTGCAATTCCTATTTTGCACTAGATATAGAAAATTATCTGTATTTATGTCAGCTTTTATATATGCTGCAAAGTTTAAATTAAACAGTGTTATATGCCGTTTTACTATCGCGTACATAACTTGTACGTAATACATAAAACATCGGAATTCCATGTAAAATTTATATTTCTTTGTATTTGTGCGTTTTATAACGGCTGCTAATAAATTATCATATATTTAATTTAATGACAATGTGTTAAAATAGATTATCCATTTATGTCTCTTACGTACAAATAAGTGGAAAGTTCACATTCTTTTTTTTTTTAACACGCACTTCTAAAGTTCGTCGACTTATTCTTTTATATTTTATTTTATTTGTATATATATAAAAGAATGATTAATTTAATTTAATTTCAAACAATTGTCTCGACAGATAAAAATATTTCAGACAAAAGGTGTATGGAGAAAGGAAACAAATAATAGTAAAATCAATTTTTGAAAAAATCGATTTTTTATGAAGGTCATGGCCATTTTTTTAAATGGAATTATATGATATTTTACATACATAATTTTTTACATATGACGGATACTTTAAAATAATTACACCTTAACTAAAAATATCTAATACAATATCTTTTTTCAAATTTTATCTTGTCCCAAAGTCTCGGTGACTATCTTTCCAGTAAAAATTTGAGAACGAATGCGAGACTCGTGTCCCAGTGACCTAATTTAAAAAAGTGTCCCAGTTGCGGCGGAAGACTTTGACATTTTATATACAACTGCGTCGCATTATTGATTGCGAGGCAACCTGGCCCGCAGGTGCGCTATACGTAAGGACGACGAATGCAGCGATGTCGCGCGACGTGAAGAACGGATAGCAGAAAGCATGACAGCGCTACCCTCCGTCATCGATTATATGCGGAATCGTCTTGACCCCGCGAGACCCGCACGACCGCGAGACGGGCGCAATCGGGGATCGTCCCCAGTGAACCAGTGCTGCAGTGTAACGATACCGCAAATGTTGCGTGCGTGCGTGCCGTGCGTGCGTGCATACATGCATACGTGCGTGCGTGCGTCATGTCGGTTTCAACGCGCAAAGTTCACGTCGCACGTCAGGGCCGCATTTACTCCTCTTGTCGTCCCCGTTACAACACGTTCCCTTCGGGAATTGCCATAAATTTCGATAGACGCGACAAAACGTGCGTGTTTGCTAAATCATTATAATTAAATATATTATAGTGAATCAAACTAAAATAAAATATTTATTATCGAGCCGTAATACAATCAATGCAGTTTCGCGCGAATAACTGAATCTCCAAGACAAGAAATCTATACGTTTCTTTCTTTCCTGCTCCGTCTATCGTTCTCAAGTTCGCGAAATTGTTGAGTAAGTATGTCGACCTTGACGATCTTTTCCCACGTGCATCCTGCATCGATCAAATTGTTCAGTGCGTTTTAAATCGATAAGCCTGGGGGGAACATTCGCTGTTATTTTTTACATTAGCTTGCTCCCATTACGTTCGCAGGCAAGTACGGCTTGAGTACGGCTCTGATGATCGTTGCATAACCACCCGCAGCGCGCCGTCACGCACGCGTCGCGCAACGTTCGACGGGACATATACCTCATCGTGCACGTGCGCTCCTATATACACGGTGTGCTTGCGGCGCGCAACGCGTTTGCGGTTTCGTCGAGAATTTCGCGCTATCCCGTTTACATTGTATGAATATATCGTACGTACGAATGTGAATGCGAGTCCGAGAGAAAAAAATCTCGAGACGCGGTGAATTTCGACGATTTGACAGCCTTTTTCTCCGCGAGTGTGAAAGCTCTCTGCAGTCGAGAATTAACGCGGCGCGCGTTTAAGTCATTATGATTTCTTAAAATTCCCCATTATTATAATGACTCAGCTGTCATATTCCACTTTCTGTCGTACTTTTATCGTTACGTTGTCGATGTGCTCGTCCAATTCCGAGTTCCATCTCGATAAGGCTCGCGTTCAAATACGTAACAACAACGAAGCTATTCTCTTGATTTCCTTGTCATTGCATTATTACTTTTTATTCGACGGCATGATGCGACAAAGTCGAGACACGTTCAAATAACGTGCATGTACGTTATTTGAACGTGTCTCTACTTTCTCTATTATATATATATAATAGAAAAAAAAGAGAGACAAAGATAGAGATTACTAATAATCCTTCGATTATTTATTCATGCTTTTTTCTTCGTTTTTTCACACATACGTTAAACGCGCGTGAAAAAAAGTCCGACTCGCCCGCTTACACATTATATAATATATGTATATTGTAATGCACAAAAACGTTTTTACGTAAATCACGAGTCTTTTTTTCAGTCGAAAACCCGGTTTTATATAAGAACCCGGGCTACTTTGGAGCCGCGTCGCGCGGCGGACGGTAACACGCGTGCGCGCTATAGAGCGAGCCCGCTCTCGCGTGCGCTTTGCGTTATCGGGATTATCAAGAGCTTCGCGGATACGTCGCGCTATCGGCGCTATCCGCCCGCGGATACCACCGCTCTATTGGCCGCGGACGCCGCGGTGCGGCCGCGTAGTCGGCCGGTCCGCCGCGACTTCAATTATTTGTGCGGCATGCGCGCGGCGGCCGAGGACTCTCGCACCGGCTCTCGTTCGCGATCGCTGCTCGTTAATCGCTGTCCATCGTCGCCTCGATCTGAGCCTCGCCATCGCGACAGCATCGACTCTACGCCGGCTGACACCGTCCGGTAGCGCGCAACGATGCTGAGCCTCTTCGAGAGCGTCGCGTACATCCCGAAGCTCTACTACGGCGCACTGCTGGGCATCGGTTTCTGCATCTACTACCTCTACGAGGTCGTCAAGGTGAGTGAAGAAAAAAATATATAATTACATAATTATAGAATTAATAATTACGATCGGTCGCTTGATTCTGCCGAAGGTCGATTTGTCATGAGATTTTTTATTAGTAAAAAAGAGACAGGGAAACACTCGATCGATCAATCGATCGAGAAAGGAGAGTTTAAAAATGTGTTCCAATTACTACGTTTACGCGAGCGTGACTTCTGTAGTAACTTACGATATTTTACTCCGCGTAAACGAGTGAATTATTGTAAGTTACTACCGAAGTAGTATATGTTAAACGGCGGTGCATACGGTATATAAGCACATTATTCGGAGATAAATTAGATTGTGATTGTCACGCTTCCTGAAGCCTTATCTTTAGCTTATACGCGCGATTGGGATCGTGATGAGTTGCGGAAAGTATGTGTCCAAACCTGTGTCCAAATAATAATAAAGCGATATGCGGGCATGGTGATTAGACGCGCGCGTCGTTACGTCATGCACGCATGCGCACGCGAGCGCGTATCGCTTTCTCATTATTTAAATATTGCTCATATACACTCGACAAGAATCAACGCAACGTCTTTCTATGATCCATTACGTTCTGTGAACTATATACGTGTATGCGCCAAACGGGTGTATAAGTCACGTGCCGTCAGCGTGTATATCTTCATGTCTGAAGCTAATATAACAAATCTTCGAACATCGTATGTCTAGATAACGTTTTTGCAAAAAGCTCATTGTGTGCGTGTGTAAACGATATTATTTATGATAGAATTTAGAAAAAATTTTTATTTCTAATTTTACAGGTATATATTTTTTAATAAATATTTCACACATATACAATTGTATACATTTTAAATAATTAATAGTGTTGTATCTTGATTCTTCAAATGGTTCTGGTCTCACGTTTTAAATGATCTGTAATTCAGAATTCAAGACAAGTATTTTATTCATAATTTAATATGTGTCACGTAATGCAAAAAATAATTAAAGGGTCAAAATTCAAATATATAAACAGATATCAAAATGTACATGTATAACAGAATACACAGTATAAAAAGTTCTAAATAAAAACGCGATTTTCATCTGGAAATCTGACGCACATTATAGATCGTTTATGGGCTTCAAGCACACAATTATATAAATAGAATTCTCTCCTATATTCTGACACGAATTATAGATCGTCTAAAGTAGGTTTTATAGGTGATATTCATAGTGTTTCTTGCGGAAGGTTATACTATTTATACGTGTACGTCATCAATGGTAATTGCTTGACGCAAAAGGTATAATACAAACTTAAAATTCGAAGATAAATAATGCGAGCTACATATTAACTCATCGGTAAAAAATTATTTTCGATTTTTTAACCAGCAACTCTGACACCTATGATTTAATGCGATTGGAGATATCCGGTAAACTATCCGAAAGACGTCTTATGACCTAATTGATGACGTCTTTGAGATGTGACATAGACGTCTTAGTTTAATTAATTTAAACATTTTAAATAACTTAAACGAATTTTAGATATATATATATATATTATAAAATAAAACATTAGACATATTATGAAATAAAAATTAGTAATACGGAAACGCATTAACAGTTTCCAAACAGTTTCGTTTTGTGACACTAAACATAATGCAAAATATCTGAATACCAAATTAACTGACGCAGTAAATATTTTTATAAGCTATATGTTATATCTCTACATTGGCCATGTCATGTGTATTTTGATCGATAAATTTTATAATCGATAATGTAAATACTTGCCTTATAAAAAATGTCTTATAAAAGACAACTCTCAGTAGCGGAATTCTGTAACTCCTTAACGACAGTTTCGGTGTATCGTTGCGCAGGTATTATATTATGGTAAAAAAGCTGCGCAACGATACCGAAACTATTGTTAAGAAGTTACATGAATCCCGCCTCAGATGTTTATTCGGAAAGTTTTGAAGACGTTTTTTTTTTTTTTAAGACCTCTTAAGAAAGACGTCTTTAAAATGTATTTTTTTTTTTTTTAGACATGCGTGTTGTCTGAGAAATGTACAACAATGCAGGGCCTTTTCTCAAAATATATGAATAAGAAGTAGCACGGGCGTAAAGTCGCGATCCCGGAAACTTGGAGTCTAAAGTCTTGTGCCATGGTCAACGATGCTAGAAATCGTCCCCAGATTTCGGAAGGAGAAAGAATTGACCAATGCGATTGGTATTGGCCGAATTGTTCAAATGCAATTTGTTAATTTCTGGCATCGTGGACACAAGACTTAATTGATAACGAGTCCAGTAACGGAGGCGAGATCTGACGTAGCAACGCGCGAAAACGAGGCGCGACGGATTCATCCGCGCGCAATGAACTCCGAAATGGGGCAGCTTATCATTCGTGCCTCGTGCGCGACGCGTTCATTGACTAACGAGCCGGGGCAATGCGGCTAAGTAGTGCCCCGGGCTGCAACATCTTTTATATGCGTCAACATTTATTTGCTCTGAATAGCGAAGTTAATCCTTTACGCGAAATTAAATAATTCGCCCGTCCGCGAACGCGCACGCAACTCGGCCGCGGGATGCTGTAATCTGACAATAAAATGCGTACTTAAATAAAACTTGTTTAAGAATATCCGTAAAATTAGTTTTTGCCTCTTTAAATTAATTTTATTGCTTTCGTAGCATAGTTCCCCATGCTTACGTGCTCATTCAAATAAGCTTCCATCGGCAGCAGTCTTGAAATTCTCTTCGCAATATATATCAGTTAAGATACTTTTTTTTACATAATTTTGTGCTAATTAGAAACAGCGGCGATCGTTTCTCCTCTGTAAACATGTATTGTTATCTTTACAATTCCCTCTCGTGCTTTTCAAGAACTTTTTAAGAAGGCATATTATTGACTACTTTGCTCTCTCAAAGTGACACTCTTGCTTGACATGAAATATCTTACGTCGTTTAAATGCGTCTACATGAAACATTTATTACATCCTATCTATATGAAATATAATGAGGGGAGACAAGGTCAACTACGTATTCTACCGTGTTTATCAATAATACAACAGAAGGAATTACATGTGCTTGCGAACATATTTGTCAGATATCAGTTAATGTTTTTATGTACATGCTTCTATTTTATGTAAAATTCACTTACTTTTCAATCAAGAAAACACATATTATATTTTATTGTAAAAATATTAGCATAAAATTACAACGTTTTAATAATAATTAACAAGTATATAAGCTTTTAATTGACCCAACTAATCAAATTTATTGATTGACATCACGACGTTTCGGGCAAGGAATGGCTCTTATCATGGCATTGTGCCCAAACTAAAAGCTGAAAAGGTGTAAGAATTTTAATAATACATAATTTACATGTACACAAAAAAATACATAATTTACATGTTCGCGTGAGGCAGTGTAATTTCTTATGATAATAAAGGTAATTTAATGCAAAACGGGTACGTGATTGTGTATGTTATTTGCACATCTATTGCTGTCTCAATTTTATATAAAACATAGTACGAGAGTTCAATATATAGACAGGATTTCCGCGATACATGTTCGAACTGACGTACGTCCCTCCATAAGCGACATCAGTCGTGAGGAGAGATGTGTCATTTATTAATCTGACCTTAAAACTCTCTAGACATTTGTCCTGCGCGTGTAAATGTGCAGGTGAAGTAACGAATATAAAGGAATTAATTGAAGGAGTTGTAGATTATATTAATGCTAATTATTTTAATTACATTAGCGATGCAGCTATATTAATGACGTAATGATTGAATAATTTCAACAAATGGAGCTCTCTTTAATATCACATTTTTATAAATGCATTAAAAAATTGTATTGGAAAACTATAATCATTATGTAATGAAAATGCAAAACGAAAACTGTTTATGACTATTAAATATAATTATTCTATTGCATCAAATATAATCACTCAACAATGATCTTTTGCCTAAAAAAAGTATTTTTCTTTCTTTCAATATTAATCACACAATCACACTAATCTTAATTTTGCAATATGAAATTAGAAATTCCAGAATTCAATTTTGTGTTAGGTAAGTAGACATATATATAGTTTAGACGTTTAGATTGTTTAGACATATATAGAATATGAAATGGAGTTGCTCTAAACCGCAGCGTTAAGTAATAACAATAGTTCTTAGCTCTGCTAACCTCTTTCTCATATCGTTAACTTGATATCATATGGATGATTTATAAGTGTGATAAAATGTAGGATTAATTTTCCACGTAACTACAAGTAATTATTACAGATTTATTTTTAATAATGTTTATATAACAAGATAAACAGATAATATCGTGATTTATGATATTGGATATATGCACAATATACATATTATATATATGCATACAGTCATGGAAATTTTTATGAGAATAATTCTCGAACTATACAAAAACAGAAGAGACATTTTAACGATAGGCTTCCTATCAGACGCGAATGCTGAAACTGAAATATATTTAACTTACTATAATTTGCAAGTCAAATGTTTCCTTATTGGCGATTCTATCGCAACGTACCCGCCAGGCATCAATACTTGATACAATTATCATTACTCTGTTACGTGTCACTTCATTCACTCTACGAGTTTTGCTTAGCACAACTCGGAAACTCTCATTCCTTTCCATACTACGTTTCACAATACAACAGGAATTTAAATATCCCTTTCAAGGGATACTTAAATTCTTGCTACATTGTCATACAAATTTATTTATACCTATATACGATCTATTGAAATTCTTATTAATCGCGTCATTTTCATGTATTATAAATCAGCTGCATATAAATGAGAATTAATTGTAATATAATTATATTACAATTGCGCGATTCCATTACTGCTATTCCATGAATGTTCTTATAAATATATAGCAAAATTCAGCATGTACAATTATTTATTAATCAATATTTATTTGAAGGAGGAAAAAGCGATATAATATTACCTGACATTATGAATGGAATGTAACTACGATATATGTACAAAACATATGGAGAAAATAGTACTATATATTTTTTTTGTCAGACCTGGAAAAACTAATAACAAAAACAACCATTACGGTTCCAGACACCCTTGCTGGTTTGCGCCAATGGACCATTCCGCACGTTCTTGGAAGCCAACATTCCGCTCGTGCAAAATAAATTCTGGCCGACGTTGTGGTGTTTCGAATCGCGAGCACAAACCATTATAGCCAGCATTTTGAGATCCCGGTTATTGCCACCTGTCGAATATCGTAGGTTGGTATAGAAGGATAGCTATTATAGAAGAATAAATATACAATTGTTCATCGAGCATTGGACTTAAATTTGGAACACAAATAATGCGCGCATGATCGATCAAGCGATTGGATTCTATTCTGTAACGCTCTCTTTACGTTACGTAGAGAAATTCTTGCTTTGTCCGACGGGGGTGAAGTGGCCTTGGATTGGGCCGAGAAAGATTGCTCCATCACGTCGCCGATCGTCGTCATTTTACCTGGTCTCACGGGTGGTAGTCAAGCGGAATATATCAAGTGTCTGGTATCAGCCGCGAGAAAAAATGGAATACGATGCGTGATTTTCAATAACAGAGGCTTAGGTGGATTGGAACTCAAGGTAGGGCTTATTTGTGAACCGAAATGAAGATGAGATATCTCTTGCAATTATTATTTATTAATTTTTTTTTTAGCAGGATTAACCGAAAACGTTTTATAATAATAGAAGTTCTTCTTTTCTTTTGTTACTTTTAGACTCCACGAACGTATTGTGCCGCTAACTATGATGATTTAAGTGAAGTCATAGAACACGTGAAAAAACTTTATCCTCATGTACCTCTCGGAGCAACTGGGATCTCCATGGGAGGGTAACCATGTTTTTCTTTAGTTTATCTTTAAATTAATAACTAAATCGTATGATATCTCTACGATGCTTAGAAAGAGCATATATGTATAATATTCAAGCATTTGATTTGATTACATTAATAAATGACATTTTTGTAAACCATTGCATGTCTTTTCTGTGCACAGGTTGATCTTAGGTAATTATTTAGCCCAAAGAGGTCTAACAGCAAGGACCAAATTGAGAGCGTGTCTCATTATCTCGGTGCCATGGAATGTGTTCGCAGCGACGAAGAGCACCGAGGAAAATTATTTTAATCTAATGCTGAATAAGCATCTAGCCAGCAATCTATGTCGCACGATAAAGCGACATCATACTTCTGATATTGGCCCTTTGGCCAACGTGGATATCGACACTGTTCTTAAGGTATGTTTTTACATATGAAACATGGTTATATGGGAAGATCGAATACTTTTAACTTTTCTAACGAACACATTTCATACTTGCGCCAAAAGGTAAAATTTAAAGGAATACTTATATATTTTCTAAATTTATAATCTCTTTTTTATTAAAAGCAGTAATTTTATATCTAGCCGTAGTATCTCACTTTAATTTCTTTTCTGTCGCTTTCCACATTTCCACAGTTATGATTTCGCAAAAAGATATATCGTAATCTACTTCTAGATAATGAATTTTATATGAACTTCGATTAAAGATTAAATTAGAAATTAATTCGTCATATACATATTCGTGATGCGCGATTTTATATTATCTGTCTGGAATTCTGAATCTGACTCATACTTATTGTGAATTATTATGATCGACAGAGCCAAACGATAAGAGAATTTGATTCGAATTTTACGGCAAGGCACTTTGGATACAAAAACGTCGATGAGTATTATAGTAACGCGACACTTCACGACAAGCTGCATCTGATCCAAGTACCGACTTTGTGTCTCAACGCGGCAGACGATCCGTTTCAACCGTTGCAAGGTGAGCGACAACAGCGCGACAACGATTATAACGTTTTTACACGATTTTAAACAACGTCTTGAATGTTTTAGCGATACCTCTGAAAGAGATAAGCCAAACCAAAAACGTGGCCGTAGTGGTAACGTCGCGCGGTGGGCACATTGGTTTCCTGGAAGGCGTTTGGCCGGTCAAGGAGGAGCAATATATGGGAAAGTTCTTCTCACAATTTTTCACGGCGATGTTCACCAACGACTTTGACTAACAGGAAGCTTGATATATCTATAGATCGGAATCGAGTAAATGGTATCGTAAGCGTTAACACTGATTGCCTTGATTCGTTATCGTCTAGCATCAAGAGATACGTGTCACGATACCGGTTATCTGTTTAATTTTCTGCAAGCTAAAATGTGATCACGTTTAATTTAACATAACATCTTTTTATCATTTTTATATTATGCTGTAACGCAAAACTTGGAATTGCACTTTATAAGCTTGAAAGGGCAACTAATTCCAAGTTTTGCTGTAATGTAATGTTTGTGAAGTATTAAATAGGCTCTACACTTATCAAGCAAAGTTCTTTGCTCATTATGACAATTAGCGCGAATTAAAATTATCCTTGTTAATTATTTATAGTTAATAAAATCTATAACTTTTATAAAAACCTATAGCTCTAATCACAATTTTTTTCTATTATTGTGTTATAATTTTACTATATTAAACATTTCTTTTATGTAATTGTTGTATTAAAGTTTAGAACTTTATTTATTACAATTTATATATGAAAATAAAATTTTAACTCTGTACCTATATCGAATCTTTCAGTAAGCAATTGAAAGCCAAAATATATTTTTTATTGTATTATTTAATTTAGAGCGATGATTGATGGAAGTGTTATCAATAATCGTTCAAAAGTACGATTCTAAATGTGATGATGTGATGAAATATGTAAAAATATCATAAATAATACAATTTTAATGTAAAACACTTTTTACTTGCCAACTTATTTTTGGAGAGGGAAATAGCTAGCTCATGATATTAATATTGGTACAAGCGTAAATTGAGGAATTTACTCATCAATCTAGAAGTGATTCATTCGCCACTCGCCACTCGGCGAGTCGATGTTATCTGCCGATTGAATTTATACGGTCATAACTACATCAAATACACTTACTTCAGTACAAACATTGCAAAAGTGTTGCTAATTCTCACTGCAACATTAATAAATATTAATGATACGCCGATGAATATTAACGATATGAGACTTCATGAGCTATTTTCCAAAAACTTTTTTTACCACTTATTTTTTATGTAATCATAATCAATAAAAAATATGGAAAAATTTCTGCACAGAAATTAACACTTTAGTTAAAAGCAACTAATTATTACATATGCTTCAGATATTATCTCGGAATGAACATCTAACATTTCATTTAACGTTTTTCACGCTCAATTATGCTCGAGTATTATATTCGACTGTATGTTTATTACGTTTTGAACAAAGGAGAAATACATGTTGTGTAAATATTGTCATCATAAAGTACAAATTTACTTGTTTTTATTTCATAGAAACACATCATTATAAAAGAATTTGCAATCAAAGTATACCTGATAATTTTACACCAATACATTGCAATATACATGATAATCTCATAAGCGCGCGTTTAATCTCATCACATTACAATCCCTTGATTTTGGATTTTATGTAAAATATGTTGTGTTTTACACTTCTTTTGAACCTTAATTACAATTTGAATTCCAAGCCCAAGGACTGCGCGATAAATGATAAAATGTCGGTACTTTCTTCAATCTAAAATAAAATGTATATAAAATATATAAATTTTTATAAGATTTTTTAAATAAACTCATTTATACATGTGTCTTAAGTACGAATCGTTTTCTGCAGAAATATTTACCACTTTCATGGTTGGTTTTCCACCGCCATGACCTGCCTTGGTATCTATTCTTGCAAGTAATGGGTTTTTCTGTTTCGACACATTTCCAAGCGTATATTGAAGAGTTGCTGTTAACTTAAGAGTATGCAAAGGTACGACACGGTCATCATGATCAGCAGTCAGAAGCAACATCGCTGGATATTGTATGTCACCTGGTGGCACTTTTACATTATGTAAAGGTGAATATTTCAACAAGTTCTCGAAATGCTTGGGATCGTCGGAACTTCCATAATCCGAAACCCAAGCAGAGCCGATGGTAAACTTATGAAAGCGTAACATATCCATAACTCTGCAATTTTAAAAAGAAAGTTAATATTTTTTATACATGCGCGTCGATAATTTAAAAATAAATTAAATAAAAAGATTTAACTAACCCTACTTGAGCTATGGCGGCGCCGAACAGATCAGGTCTTTGATTTATACATACGGCAACAGCCAGACCTCCATTGCTGCCACCTTGAATTGTCAATTTTGCAGAAGTAGTGTATCCATTTTCTACAAGATATTTTGCTGCATACTGAAAATCATCGAATACATTTTGCCTATTAAAGAAGCGTCCTGCATTGTGCCATCTTTCTCCATATTCACTACAACAAAGAATGTCACTTTTTGTACAAGCAGATACCCACACACACATTTCTATAAATTTGTTCTTCCTATTGTTACATACCCTCCTCCACGAACATTAGCAACAGCAAGTACTCCATTAAAATGTTGTATAAAAACAAGTCTTGTAACACTGAATGTAGGTTGGATACTTGCATTGAAACCACCATATCCATAAAGTAAGCCTGGCATACTTCCATCTAATACAGCATCCTACATTAAAAATTTTCTGATAATTTGTTAATTTTAACATTGATCAGAAAGACACAGAAATTTTTTTAATAATCTTAAACCATTTTTAAGTCGCTTCTTAAGTCGAAAATCTAGTTCACATGATAAAAAAAATATATTTTGTTATTAATTTTTTAAATAATCTACGTACATTCTTTGTTACTATAAACATGGGTATTTTTGTACCATCCTTGCTTGGATAAAATATTTGACTAGTTTTGTATAAACTTGCATCAAAACCCTTCACTTTGATTTCTCGCAAGATCTGAAAACAATATTAACCATCGAGTTATAACTGTACCTAACAGAAAAAACTCATATCATATTTATTTGAAAAGATAGATACTAACTCGTGGTTCCTTTTCTTTTTTTAAATCAATCGTATATATAATTCCTGGGGTTAGGAATGATGTAAATTGATAAAATATCTCAGAATATTTCTTTTCTCCTGAGAATCCGAGGACAGTGCCAAGATCAAGAGGAAACGTTCTAAGAACTTTACCAGTGTTCAAGCAATGCAGTTGCAAAATGTTCTATAAAATATTTAATTTTTAGCGTTCCTACAGCAATCAATCTGAATATTTTAAGTATATATGTTTACCTTAACATCTTGTATGTAACAAGCAACAAATTTGTCTCCATCCACAGCACTAGCCCAATCTAGTACGTTCTCAGAATGTTCTGGCAAAAGATCAACCCATTTGTCTTGTTCATAATCCAACAAATCTACAGCTATCAACTTGTAATTAGGAGCACCTTTATTTGTGCGAAACACAGCTTTGTTACCAATATTGGTCACGTACTGAAAATACAGAGAGATATGATAATAATATGATACATAGAAGTGTAAGAATATTTAAGGAAAAACAAAATATTTATAATACCAACTTCGTAATCAGCTTCAAGCTTATCGACAACTTGTGTCAATGGCAAATTGTTTTTTATTTCCATTCCATCTTTTAGTGGCGTAAAATATACTAAATTATCTCTGCAATCCTTTAGAGGAGTAACAATGAGCCATTTACCACAATCAGACACTTGTGCACCTCTGATAAAACAATAATAGATTTGTACCACACACATACGAGCAGATTATCTTAGTTATTTCCTTACATTTGTATATATATACAAACATATGTTATGTGTATAATATACATATATAAAAATATACATATGCACATAAATTAATATTGCATATCTAGATATATTAGAAAATATAACTAGGTATATTTTGATTTGCTATAAATTTGCTACATAATTTGAGAATCTACTCATAAAATATAGATTTTAATGTCTAAGTAATGTCTAATAAAACATTTGATAATAGAATATTATAGAGAAATCTAAAAAAAAAAACTTAAGTTACAAAACTCACATCCTCCACAATGGTTCTTCAGGAAACTCAACGGCGACAACATCATCCGACTGCGGTGTACCAACAACGTGGTAACATAGTTTTTGGTTTTGATTACCTAACGTTTCTGAACCGTCAGTCTTCCCTTGCTGATCTCGATATTGTCCATAAAAAATACCACGATTGTCGTGAGTCCATGTAATCGGTGAAAACTTGACTTTTTCCAAAATTTCTGGGTAATTTTCACCTTCATGAAAATGTTTTATATATTTTTAGTAAATAAACGTCTATTATATATCATAACTGTAAAAAAGTTTAAGAATTTTGACATTATTTTACCAGTATGGGCATTCAAGAAGTGAATAGTACTCCAATCAGAACCGCTTTTAGATAATCCATATGCGAAAATGCTACCATCCTCGCTGAAGCTACTACTGGTAATTGCAACAGTTCCATCCTCAGAAAGAGTATTGGGATCAAGAAATACCCTTGGTTCACTTTCGAGAGTATCTTGTACGTATAAGACACTGAAAAAAAAGTCCATTAAGTCAAGACAATATGTACAGATGCATGTTAGAAACTAGGAATGTTAGGAATTTCAAATTATACCTTTGGTTTTGCAAACCAGTATTTTTATAAAAGTAATATTTCTCGCCGTGTTTGGCGGGGCACGAATACTTTGGAAAATCCCACAGTTGTTTCAAACGTTCGTGAATATTATCACGCGCTTTGTACGCAGCCAGATACGGTTTAGTGATAGCATTTTGGGCATCGACAAAAGCTTTCGTTTCTGCCGAATCTGGATCTTCCAGCCATCTATAAAGATCTTTTATCTATAAAACAAAATACTGACTCTTTATATAATATTTAAATGCATCTTATTTATATCATTATTATATCATTATTTATATCATTATTTAACACGTATCTCCTATTTCAACATAAAACAATAAATTACTACTTGTGCAATCTCTGCCTTTCTTCATAATCCCCGCTAAAGGCTAATTGTCATTTGATAAGGAAATTGAATGTCCATCAAAATGCCATCAAGATTTAAATATACTGTGATTAGTGTTAAATACACTAATATATATCATTAGAATCAAGTGTTAAGTATTAAATATCTCTTTACGAAAATTAAGTAGACATTTTTAAGAATATAACGAGACACTTTGCGACATGTATTCTAACCTCAACGCCGTGGTACTCATCGACGACACTCTCGTCCCTGCGTGCCTCGGGGTAGCGTATCCTCGTCATAATTCCCGATCGACCGGCGTCTTCCCGTGTACGATAAATCGCCGCCTAAATGCACAGAGAAACCTTGTCTAACGATATTCGCGCACGTGCGAGCCTCTTTCCACGTACGTCAATTGTCACCGGAGCAAACACTGAATCACGTGATCCGGACTGATCCGCGTCATCCGCGATCCGCGATCCTTGGCTCGACCGCTCCAACGTTCGAGGTTCGATCGTTCGACCGGTTCGACTTCGACGTGCGCGACTTCGCGCTGCCAAACAAAGCCTCCCGATAAAATTCGAAATGGTGAACTCCGCGGACGGCGGCCTGGATGCGGATAGAGATCGGAGAGACCACTGATCCCGTCGGTCGGTACCGGCGCGAATTTATACGACCTCCGTTCCGCGGAAAAGATACGGCGCGAGAAAAGATGCCAGTCAGGATCACGTGACGTTCGTGCGGGTGATCTCAAAATCTGATCTGATTGTGAGACCGATTAATGGAGCGCACATGGAGAGAAGGACTCGCGCGACGGGCGACGGCACGGCGTGTATATGGCGGATTCCCGGTCGCCGCAATTTTCAACGAGTTCTCACAGATACCAACAGGTACAACTGTAGACGATACCCAGCGTGCCGCTCGCAAATCGGCGCGATTGTCAACGTGCTGGCCAAGGCGCCGAGTATCGTAGCTCCGGAGCGCTCCCCACCGAAATCCGTCGAACGGACGACGTGGTAATCGTAGTACTGCCGCACGCATCGTCATCTCGTATCTCGTCGCGCGGCGTTGCGCCTCGACGACGACCTCGGAAGGAACACCCGAGCACCGTCCCGTCTGCTTTGACTTCACTTCCGCGAGGCAACGCGGCGCATTCGAGCGCTTCCGCGTTCGACGCCAAACCGAGCGAATTTAATTTAAATCTAGAGTCTGCTTTCTATTGTTGAACTGGCTGCACTAGTTCAGAGTTAATTTATCTTTTTTTACTCCACATTTACCACCACGTTTACGCGGGGCTACTTATGTGTTTACGCGATGACTAATGTACGATAATTTTTTACCGTTTACATATACGTGCGTAAGTATTCTATACTTCCGAGAGCCGTTTACGCATGATATTAATACGGGAAGTAACTGATTAATTTGAGTAACTTGCTTCAATTATCTACTCTCGTCGTAGCCATAATGTCCCAACACAGTGACACAGGCTGCAGTCCATTTAATGCTACAAATAGTTTGAAGCGCGCGTTCTTCTTCTCCTTCTTTCTTCACTGAAACTGTGACCATTTCAGAAGAACAATTTTATTAAAAGTAAAAGAAAAATAATTTTTAACTAAATTATTAAATATGCTCAAAATAATTCCCTTATTCACTAATGCATTTTTTTGCATTTTTTCAAGTTTCTGGTTTTTTTTCATTGTTTTGAACGCTTTATCAAAAGTAATTAAAATTGGTGTAATTTAGGTTGTTATATATTGAATTACCTATCAAATTTATTTTGTTACTTTTTTTTATATAAATGAAAGGTTTTGAAATTATTTTTAAAATCATCAAAAAAACGTGATTTTTCAAAGTTTATTAGCTCTAACTTAATTTTCAACGAAACGTGTCTAGATCTATGTTTATAGGAACTTTTTTGCTCTAAATTCAATTTCCTATCTACGACCCTGAAGTTTTATTGATCTGACATTCTGACCTAGAACACCTTGTATACAGGGTGGGCCATTTTAATTAATCCGCTCAAATATCTAAAAGCTTTTATAAGGAAGTTTTATAAGGAAACTTTTCAGACAAAGGTTGTTCAGTGTTCAAGATCAGCACGGGGATTCTCTAACTCCTTAACGACAGTTTCAGTATCGTAGCGCTGGTATTATATATATGGTAAAAAAGCTGCGCAACAATACCGAAACTGTCGTTAAGGAGTTAGAGAATGTGCAGAGCACTATTTCAAGATCAATTTTATTTTTCGAAACAAGAACCGCCATTTTTTATCATATATTCTTGTAGCTGATGTCGAAGCGTTTTCAAAACACTATAATAATGCGCTTTTTTATTAAGTATATCCTGAGATATTTTAAATTTTGCCATAATATTTTTTAATATAAAAAATAAAAAGTTTCCTTCTAATTACAAGTTTTGAGATATTTGAATGGATTAATTAAAATGGCTCATCCTGTATACATATACCGTGCGTACCAAAGTTCCAGAACGGCTAATTATCTCAGAATATATTGGTTATTTATTGGAAAAATGTTTTAGATAAAAGTTGGAAGGTCCAAAGAGGACCAATAAACGATCTTATTAGATTTTGAGTTCGGGGCCTATGTTGGGCCTTACTGGGCCCAAGTTAAATTTTTTAAACGGAAACCTCTATTTTTTATTGTATCCTTTTTTTCTATTAATTAATTTGAACAACTTTTGTCTAAAATATTTTTTTATTTACTAATACTTTTTTTGAGAGATTCAAGGAAAACTTGGTAACTTTTCCAATATTTTATTTAGCTTAACGATAGCTCGCGATATCTGGCTATCTCGATAATAGTCTGCGCCATGTTAACAATACGCCATAGATCTGGATTTCTTGTCTAATGCATCGTCGAAACTTGTTTCCATTAGCAAATGCAAATTCGCATGTATAATGTTTTACTGGTAAACATCCGATAATGGAACAAGTGATGAGAGAGAAAGCAAGAAGCACCGTATCTTTATCAGGCATCGCGTTATAACTCGACGAGTTTCGAGCTGACTGACAAATTTTTCTTCCATTTCTGTGCTTTCCCTCTATACTTGTTTATAATAAATTACTTGCCGCCATTGATATATCTACGACACTGTATTTATTCGCAAAATATGGTACGTTGTACCGCGAAAAGTCTCGTTTACATGTCAATTACTATCACGCACGACAAAAGAGGGGGCAATTGAGGCCTGCCAATAAGGAGATACCGCGTTCCGCGCCCTACTACTTCGTATGAGTTGCAATTAATGCTGACGTTGCACTTATAGCCACACGCGTGCATAAAAGATAAAGAAAAAGAAAAGAGAGACTAGATTCCGACGGATCAATGTAACACTTCCCGATAATTATAGCGATATCGGGAATTAAATAATTAATGTAAGATTCGATGTATCTTGAATATGTATATCGTGGTTTCTTCTGAGACTCTGCGATCGTGCAGGAAAAATATCCGTTCGTTTCAGCTGCGCCACGTGACTTTCTTTCTGCAGTGAAACTATATTTAGAGAAAGGAAGCAACGTGGATGGTATAATTGACAAATTGAAGAAAAACAAAAAAACAGACAGAGTGAGGGAGAAAAGAGGGAGGCAACTGACAATTCTCTGAACTTGAAATTACGATCACAAACAGAAATGTTGCGACTGATCGGGCTTGATATCTATGTAATACACTAATTGCCTGCAGAAATTTTTCTTCTCTACACAAATGGTGCTCCAATACACAAGTCATCAGACATTGAAATATTGAGAATAATTTCGACTAATCTCCTGGAATTGTGATCCTGTGGATCCAGGAATGTTCCGGCTTGTTCGCGATACGCGTGTTAGGATTATCTTTCGTCATTAAATGTCACTTTTAGACGATCTTCGTATTAAAATAGTATTCTATATTTATAATTTTGCGTGCCGCGTATTAATAGGCGGAAAAACACTTGGCGAATCAGAATACATACATGAATAAAAATGCACATGTACACGATACACACGGCATAAAGCTGAAGTCGAATTCTATTCTGAGATCTCTGACATGAATTATAGGCCGTGCAATATGAGCTTTGGAGAGTACATATGCTGATTACATATAACAAAACCAATATAAAAACCGAGTCATTCTATTTGCGGCCCCGTTGGCGAGAATGTTAAGCAACCGATACGTCGATTCATTCAGTTCTTCCATTGAATTTTTTGTAGTCCATTATGTTGATATCCGATTATATGCAAAGTTATTATTGTTCTTATTATTATTAATTTAATATATGACTGTTGAAGACTGTGTAATTTGAAACGTTCCACCAACATTTCAAATATTTTTTCTTTTGTTAGCAGATAATAAATATTATTTATTTGATATCTTAACATTCGTGTTTGCTCGTTTATTGGTCCACGACCTTTTTATATTGCTTTGCAAATACGAGCCTGATTCGCACTTACAATTAGTTTATTATTATTATTATTATTATATACTGTATGTACAATATACATCTATATATATAAATATATTATATATGGTACATACATACGATTATATAATATTATAAGCAATAAGAGAATAATTTTATCGAATAGTTAGCAGAATAATAGTTAGTAGTCAAATTATAGTTATCTCAGTTATCTGCTTATATATATAAAATTTCTGTTTATATATACACAGAATTGCGCAAAATAACGCAACCATCAGCCTCTTGATTTCGAGTAGTCTAATAATATAATTCCAGTCGGATTATTAGTGGAGTTTTTCATCGAATTAAGCAATATCGTCCAAAAGAAACTCACAAATTCCAGTTTCTTGTTTTTACGCAGATAGATGAGCAAAAAAATAAAAGCAAGAAACAGAGTGAGATAAAGAAACAAAGATTACAAAAATATAACATGCAAATTTTTATTTATATATATATATACTGTTGCTCCCTACGGAGCTAAATGTTAATTATCTTAAGATAGCAATTCGCGGTAACGTCTTCGTCGGCGCGCAAAATATCATATCGCTCGCTTTTTATCGATGACATAAGAAAATACTCAAAAAAATTACGAAACATCTAAAAAATGACCGCACAAACGTGACGGTGTTTACTTCTCGCGCGGCTGCCGCGGCTACATTTTACGTGCAGGCAGCCGCGTATTGGCGAGATTCGGTCGGTGCAACCAGACGTATCGCAAACAAGACGTCTGGGTCGTCCGGCGAGATAGCGTGCGCGCGCACGCGCGCGCAATCCCGAAATGCTCTCTACACGAGACGACGAGGGGGGCCCTTATCGCGATATTTACGTTACGCGCCTGGGTCGAAATTCGATCGCACGCGGGGGACAGGCCGGACAGGCGGGGATTGGACGAGAGGAGAGTCAGGAGAGTGACGTTGCGACGGTTGCAACCGTGTCACGTGCCCGTCAGCTGTACTTTGTGCCGCGAACCTAGATAACCTCTCCAAGCGAGATCCCTTCCTCCGTCGACGAGAGGAAAAGGCGACGGGGTGTCGTATAAAGACCAAACCCGATGACTCCCTCGTCTCATTCCACGTTCGCTAGTGACATGACAATCGGAATTCGTGTGCTCCGTACGCGACAACGACGAAGAGTTACTTGTGCATCGTGAGCAATATAGAAGTTGCGGGCGACCTAGCCAACGGAAGTTCTAGAGAGAGAGAGAGAGAGAGAGAGAGTGACCGGGCCAGCCGTGCCTTATTTCCGGCTCGGGTAAATTTAACTCGCTTCAAACTGTCAGCACACGGAGGAATGCAAAAGGACTGTCGAGATTGTTTGGGTATTCGGTACCGCATTAACTCCCTGGACCAGACCTGGAAGTGGCTGCATCAGACCATCGCCCTGCACGACTACCTGATCTCCATAACCGCGAGCCAGACCAACGTTTTGATGTGTTTCCCTCAGTAGAGGCCGCTCGCCGTCTACCGTGAGAGATTGACCGTTCGGTCCAAGACTGATCTCGTATGAGATAACAATTTGGGAGCCTCGTGGTTCATTAGATCCAAGACTGATATACATATACACACACACACACTCATACAAGTGACTTTGCGTCACGGTGACATTAAACAGAGATCAGGTAGTCTGCGATCAACTGCTCGTCCAACGTAACCAGGGTATTCCACTTCGCTTTCGTACACGCCACACGCAATGTCTCTATGCGCCAGATTGGTTGTCGCTATCAGACGCTGCGCGTCTCTCGACGGTACCCGGCAGGCCAGCAGGTACGTGTCGACTCATAGCGCCCAAGACAGCGGCGACTCCATCAAGAAGTCAGTATTCATATCGCAATCCACGGATGTGTTCGTCAACTTGGCGTTGGAGCACTGGCTGTATCGCAACTTTGACTTCTCCAAGCATCACGTGTTGCTCTTGTGGAGGAACGATCCCTGCGTGGTTATCGGCCGCCACCAGAATCCCTGGCTCGAATGCAACGTTCAGGCGCTCGAGAAGGCAGACATTGCATTGGCGCGCCGAAACAGCGGCGGCGGTACCGTTTACCACGACAACGGCAATCTCAACCTGACGTTCTTCACCCCGCGCGAGAGATACAATCGGCGATACAATCTTAACATTATCACCAACGCCTTGTTTCGCCAGTGGGGCCTGAAGAGCGTCATCAACAAACGCGACGATATTCTAGTCAACGGAGACTGCAAGGTATCCTTTGATGTAACATATTTATAGAATTATTTACATCCAATTATTCAAAACTAGAAATTAATTTGTATACTGATCACATAATATAATTCACGTGATCAATGTATATTATATAATTCACACAAGTTGGGAACATTTCGACATGAATGATGTAACAAGCATGTGGCACAAAATAGCAATTGATTACGTAACTGTACTTTGCTCGCTTCGAGGTTTTAAAACTGCAAATAGATTCATTATATCGTGTTTTTTTTTCTTACTACAATGCGATATAGATATCTGGAACAGCTGCAAAATGTGGAAGACCGAATGCTTATCATCATTGCACACTTTTGGTCAACGTGAACAAAGCCAATCTGAACTCGATTCTTGAAAAAAAAGAGGTAAGGCTTTTCTCCATATTGCCGACGCATACACGCGTGTATCTTCTCACAAGATATATGTACTTGTGTCATAAAATGACTCCGTGACGCAACGCTATCAGCAGTATATCAATATTGCGCTGTTTGTTAAAGATAGGTCTACGATTTATGCACGAAAAAATAAGAAGAGAGGAAATAATGGGTGAATGCACTTTCAGAATGGTATCGTTACAAATGCGACGTCTTCTGTACGTTCTTCAATAAAGAACTTGTCCGATATAAACCGGAATATCCAAATGGATAAGCTTTTATCCGCTGTTGGCTGGGAATATTTGCGTACGAAAGCCCTCGTTCTCGAAGACGGAAGATATGATCTGGTTGAACAACAAAAAGGATTCAAGTATATCAATCCAACTGAGGACTGGTTCCCTGGTATGTATGAAAAATGGCTCTTATTATTTGAAAAATATGTCGAAAGTCGAAGATATGATTTCGAAACAATCTTATGTACTTTATCAAATGGAAATTACCAAGTATGATAACTAATCGATAAACTTATTTAATTTAAAGTGTTTTCATAAATTGGTATTATGCAGGAATTGATAACTTCGTCAATGAGTTCCGTTCTTGGGATTGGAATATGGGCAAGACGCCGAAATTTACAGTTACCCGTACGCTCGACTTTCCCGCTCACGACGGTAAAATATATCGTCTGAATTTGAGCTTGGAGGTGCAGAATGGCATCGTGGAAGAAATCAAAATGAGTTTGCCTGCTGGTTTAGTATCGACCGACTTCACCCAAGATGCGAGCGTGATTAGTAATATTCGCGGCGCGAGATACGATCATGAAGTAACAGAAAACATAATCGCCGCGATTGGCGGTAAGACCGTCACTTTAAACACGACCCAAAGCGTAGATGAAAACAATATGAGGTTTGATGAGGCTACGCTACAATGACCCGGAGTCTCGAGCAACCACAATTCTGCTCCTAGCGTTATTGTGTTCAAACGAAAATAATTATTGTTAAAATTATATACGTTGTATTATACATGTACATATTTAGCATATTACGCGCTTATAATATTTTATACATAACGCGCGATAACGTGCAAAAAATTTTTTTTAAAAAAGTTGTTATTCAGTAGCATATCAACCGTTGCAATGTTTGAAACATTGATTAAGAATGTTGCAATAAAATGCATATTATGCATAAATCTCTCGTCATTGATATTATCGAGAAAATGTTATGCATTACATTTTAATTTTTTATATTGTTATTGAATTAACTATTTTAGGAATAAAAGAAAATAGATTTTCTATAATTGAAGTTCTTTTATTAACCTGTCAAATTACGTATATAGTATTAAAAGCAATCAGAATTATTTCTTTTTGTCATTGAAAAAATTTTTGATCTGCAATATATACTATTTTACGAACTAAGTGTACATATTAAACAAGATTTTATATTGAATAAGTTTTTATGTTTACATACGAAGGTCGTCCAGAAAGTAACGCACGTTTGATTATTTAAGTTACTAATTTTATTGAAATACAAAATTAATATATACAAGTGATACAACTAACTTTGATCTACTTTTCCACGCAGTTACTCAAGACAATTGAGACACTTGTATCGAGTGACCAGCTTCAAGATGCCTTCATCACAGAAGTCTCCCGCCAGTCCATTTAATCAGTTGGCCACCATCTCCTGCAGCTCGTCGTTATCCACGGTACGTTTTCCATTCAAAAATCCCTTCAGGTGAGTGAACAGGCGGTAAGAGATGGTAGTCACTCGGCGCCAGGTCAGGACTGTATGGAAAATGATCGAAAACTTCTCAGCCAAATTCGTTGAGCAGAGTCTGAGTTCTGGCTGCAACATGTAGGCGAGTGTTGTGGAGAAGCACAACTCCGTTGGACAGTCGACCCCGGTGCTTGTTCGGAATCGAGCATTGTAACCGTCGAAGTGTGACACAATAAGCCAAAAATGGATTGGCGTCAGACTTCTGCGATGAAGGCATCTTTAAGCTAGTCACTCAATACGACAAGTGCATCAAGTCTTAAGTGACTATGCGGAGCAGTAGATCAAGGTTAGTTGTATCACTTGTACATATTGATTTTGTATTTAAATAAAATGTGTAACTTAAATAAGCATGCGTTACTTTCTGAACCACCCTCGTATGTTCAGAAATCGCGTTTGAAAGATGGCACTGCCTATTAGAGGACATCAGAACGTGTCTTTTGTCTTTCGATTGTTAATGCGTTTTATTGATTAAAAATTAAAATACTTACAATTTCTTGCTTGCTTTTCATTTTTTAAAAAGTTTACTTGTACTTCGTAAAATAACATGCATCAAACATCAAAGTATTCTTTGTATAAAGTAGTTTTATTATAAACACGTAACTTGGAGTAAAAGTCAATACCATTCTATCTTCCGCAAGACTAATACCTTTTACAAACAATATAATAAATATAGGATCAACATGCTTCTCCGTGCACTAAATTTCAAAGCAACAAATCACACAATTTACAACAGTATAATAATATCTCATTTTTAGAACCTAAGTATATCCCGTACTATTTGTGGCAACGTTATTATTTAAATTTGTTGTAACCCCGATGCGTTACGATAGAGTCCTGGTCGCAGCATGACTTCGCGATACGGCGGCGGTGGAGTATCGGGATAAGATATTGCGTTATCGTTAACGGCAGAATCCTCAAATTGCCATAGATTCTGCAGCAACGATACTCTTTGAGCATCATTATTGCTTTGTCTGCGACATCCGCGACAACAAGATATCTTCCTTGTGAGCCAAACGTAACAGGTGAACATACCGCACGAGGCACCGAGTAAAAATCCGGCCGCGAGGAACCAATACGGCAATACGGAGTTGAACGTTTTCGTAAAGTTCACCTCGTCTGTCGCATTAACATGAGCAACTGTATTTTTGTGCGTCGACGTAGGCACAGGATGCTTCTTTGTCACGTTTTTCTTGGTGTTCGAAGTTATTAAGGGCCGATGCTTCTCGTGCTTAATCCGTGGGTTGTAGACGATCATTTTTTCAAATTTCTTCGGCTCCACACTTTTTTCGCATACTGCATAATACTGTATATTCCTGTGGGTTAGATATACTTGCAAGTCACGCGTAAGCTTGTCGCAAGACCAGGGATTTCTGAGAAAAAGAAATTAGAGATCTGAGAACGTTTTCGTTTATCAAATTAGCATAAATCGAATTTTTTGCGAGCAGATATAACTAAACTATTTTTGTAGATCTTTTGTACTTTATAGATAAGCGTACATTGCATATAAACAGATTAAATATGCTGAGTATGGAGATATCTTAATTATTTTAAAAAAGTGTCTGAAAATTTATAATTGTACATATATACATTATACGTACAATTATAATGATACATATAAAAAACTATGTAAAAATTGAAATTTAGCCAAATTGTGTGTTAAATTTCTCAATCGTAATCTTTACCCCTCTATTAATAATCTTCTTAAAAATGTTAACGGTTTAAGGGCAACGGTGTCCAATTGAATCATCAAGTTATTTGAAAGATCAAGGGTACGAAGATGCGAAAGTCCGTCGAACATATCTTCCGGTACATGGCTAATTCGACATGAGTCCAGAGTTAATTCCTAAATAAAATAATTTTTAAATTAAAATAAAAGTGTCATATCTCTTTCTATGCGATTGAATTTATTTATTTTTTAATCATTGCCGATCAGATTTAACCCTTCGTAGTTACACATGGGTCTATTGGACCCACACTCATTTCGATCTAAATATGAGCTAAATGCCTAGCTTAAAATGGGGCTTGGTCCGCCATCTACAAGAGTTTGAAGTATCCTTTATAGGTAGAAACCGTTAATCATGTACTTGTTCACGATTTTTTTTCAACATGTTGCCATTTGATTTTTTTCAAAACCGAAGTTATTTTATATTCTAGAATGTTCAAGGTATGTTCCAGAATTATTTGAACCCGACCGATACCATTAAAATGGCAATCATTCAAAATCGACTGGGTCCATATGACCCAGTATGACTAACACGGGATTCTAGAGAAGTGTAACTACGAAGGGTTAATCAAAACCGATGAGATTGGCTACAATAAATGTAAATATTGCAATTTTATTATCGTAAACATTGATCATCGAAGTAATATTTTCATGACAAATACTTTCGTAAAACGTTAAGTTATATATTTACGTTACGCCAATATCACCAGTACGATGTATCGTGTAAATATAATATTGATAGAGAGAGAGAGAGAGAGGGGAACTCTTAATTAATATTTTCGTTATTACCGTGAGCCAGGGGCACTCCAGTCTCGGTACATGAGAATTGAAATTATTTTTCGACAATCGTAGAATTCGCAAACTTTTTGCCGGCACGAAAATATCCGACAGGAGATAGTAAAGGTGATTTCGAGATAGATCCAAAACCGTTAACTCGGATAATCCATCAAAAGCGTTTAAGCCAATTTCGCTAATTGCATTTACAGACAGGTTGAGGTATTTAAGCTCCGTCAACCCTGCTTCCTAAAATAAGAAAGAAAAACGTTACGATGTGTGTGAGCGTAAGGTATCCCAGGGATTAGTGCCTATTTGAAATTTTAGTTATATACGGAATGACAGTCGGGAAATTGCTAAAATTAAATGGCTGTTTTGCAATGAGTGGACAGAATGAGGCGAATTATACACTATAGTACAAAAGAAACCCGTCATTTTTACTAACTCACTATATATAAAGGAAATACGTGTATGGGCAGGCATAAATAAATATCTTAATTAAAAAAAAACTAACAAAATTTGACTGGTATACTAACTTGCAAAAATAAATGCTGTAAAAAAGGGCTAACAATTCGACTGGTTACACGTGATATATTTCCGACGATGATCGTCTGAACTTGTACATACAATAATCACTTTTGAAAAATATTTGAAAATATTTAAATATTTATTTTTTAGCATTGATAATTGCAATTATGACTTTGAAGAATTCCAGATAAATGCCTTTCATGGAAATGGCTGGTTATATCGAGGTCATCAGAGATTATACATTACTGTGCCATGCGACTAGCCGAACTTTCGGCTTTTTTACAAGTTCATAGATGTGTATTTTTTCTGCTGTACATATTAATAAAATGATGGATATTGCAGGATATCTTTTAATTAATTCCATTCTGTCCATTTTCATTACAGAACAACGGCTGCTTGGTTATTTCAGCAACACTTCTCGACTATCACCCTGTACAAGAAAACTTTAAGTCGTTTATTTATATCGAAACTTGAATTTCTGTTGAAATAGAAAGTGCTTTCATTCGTTTTATTTATTACAATAATTTCACTGTTTGCATGCTAAAAATAATGCTGAAAATGAGAAATGCTCTTTCCCATCGCTCCGAAACGGTTTAACGACGTTCGAACTGATGGTTCCCTCGGATAATTTATGGTCAAATGTCAGCTAAAAAAATCTCAGATAGGCCTTTCTCCCTTAAAGGTTTTAAAAACGTCTTGAAGAAGGATTTGAAATACCTATGGGAATACGAATGATAATAAAAGTGAAAGAGAATTTTCTGAACAAAAGCCTCTGCCAGCAAAAGACAAATTCCAGAATAAGGGCTTAGGGACGCATTAGTCACGGGTATACAAAAATAGGGGACGGAAATAACGTTTCGCCGTGCGTACATCTGTACCCGAGTCCGGGCGAGTTAACTCTCTTAAACGCACGCCTCACTCGATCGCGCGATACTCACCGCCAGTTCGTAATTATTTAAAACGGATATCGAGTTGTTCGACAGATCCAGGGCCTGCACGTCGCTCGGCGCACCTGTGTGAATGCTATAAAGATGGCGTCCGGTGCACGAGGCGTGCTGCAAATCGTACCAGGTATCGCACACGCACAATGACGGGCACCATCCCGCGCGGGCGACGCCGAGCGCGATCGCGTCGAGGACGAGGACGACCAGCCAGGTCCCGGCACGGACAGCCTGCACGGCCTGCGTCATGACGTAGAGGAGCCGACGTCGACGGCCTCGCCGTCCGACATTATCGCTTTCCCTGAGCGTTTTCGCGTTTGCGATACGGGATCGTCGTCGCTTCGTCTTAACCGGGCACGAAACTGTCGTGTACTGCGGACGTAATCTTATCACAACCGCGTATACCGAGCGTGCGGATGACGAAGCGCGTATCGCCCTCATATCGCCGTCGCCGTGTTATCCTGCTTATACATCGCTTATTATACATCGCTTTCCAGGAATCTGCGACGGCGAGAGATACCGAGAGATATATTCTACCGGGAGGAAGGGGGGAAGAAATCACTTTGCGCCAAACTCCATCAGGGTCTCGAGTACGGAATTTTGAAAGCGGTGTATACACACGACCGTTAATCTTATACCTGCGAAGACAAAATTTATACCCATCGGACATTCGTATAGCTTCCGTCGTTTCCCTTTAGAATTTTCGAATTGTTTGTCCACGATTCAAGGACATCGTGGAGAATTAGAGGATACCTTTTTCTATAGAAATTTTGCACGAGTGACGAAGCATGCTCGCCGAGCGCGAACAATGGCACGTCCGAACGCGTTAAAACGGGACGTTTCGAGGAAAAAGTGCCTCTACACCGCAAACCGAAAGGAACGACCGCGCGAGATAAGGCCCTGCGTGCGATTCCCCGTGCGAGAAAAACATTCACCCGGCTTTAGCCGGGATAGCGCGGTGCGAACTTTCCCCAAGTTTTCCGGCATTGCCGGTACACGTAATGTAAGTACTAACTTTCGGCACACAACGTTTGCGTTGAAGTTACGTTGTTGCTTCCGCCTTGCTCCTCCGTTGCGAGTAATTCCTTTTCCGCGTTTTTAATTCGCGGAAAAAACGTGCTAAATTTTAATAAAGTTCTTTTCCAGAGATATGTGATTACTTTATAACGTTATACTTTGTAGGACGTTGTCTCCTCACGGCTGCTCGTTGGGCGTGCGATTCACGCCGCATCGAGATTGGAATTCCAACGATGATTGGAACGAAAATTGATTCTTGATGCACTTCTGCGATCAGAATTTTATTTGTTCGATTCGTAATTGTATAACGATATTTCAAGTTATAGTTCGAAAAAATATAAAGTAATTGTGCATTGCTGTGTAAATGGCGTTGATTTCCGTAAAAAGAATAATAAATATTATTTGACGTTTCATATAATTAGATATACAAAAATAAAATAAGATATACAACAAAATGCAGATGTATACTTAATTACTTCTCTATTATTAACAAAATGAATCTAAATGGTATTTATACTGGAAATTTCATTTATACATATACTCTCGTAAATACACGTGCACAAATATAAGTATAAATAACCCAGATAGTTAGATCTGTCGAAAACAGATGTCACACGAAGTGCCTGTCCCAAATTTTTTCCGACAGAAATGTAAAATCTGCTGGTAAAACACTGGCTTAATGCGGATGCGGTTAATGCCAATCTGCTGGAATATTCTGCTCGAATTTGCTGACAATTAGTACACTGTTAACGTCTCTATGGACGTTCGTCGCAATGCCATCAACGACGCGACGACAGACCTAAATGAATCGTTTGCTGAAGAGTCGAGATATCAAGATAACGGAGCTGAGAGTTAATGAAGGGGACGGGGGAGCGTCATCGGGGATTTTTTCGGAACGACCGCTCATTATCCTTCCTTCGTACTTGTAACGAGGGCCAGCGTTTATACCGAGCTGAACCAACGAGACGCGCGCATATTGCGCAACGTCCACGGAAATAAATCTAGGATAGGCTGCTGGGAACGCCGTGGACCGTTGCCTTCTATTTCGCCGGTCCGCCTTCTCTTCCCCCCTACGTTCGTCCGTTCCCCTCGCAGCGCAGCATCTTCCGGCCATTTTCATCGCGCGTCCTCCGCGCCGCCATGACGATCCGCGTCCGGCGAAGCGGGCGCGATCCCGCACCTTCGCGGATCGAGTGGATCGACGCCGCGGGCCGGCGAGATCGATCGAGGAGGGGAGGGGTGGACGGAGAACGCCACAGATGGACAGAAGACAATTAACGATTCGGAGTCCTCGCGTCACGCTCGACGGAAATCGAGGAAGAAGCGCGTTCACCGCAGGCGTTTGCATTGCCCGTTGCCGTCGGACGCTGGGAACAGCCGGGAACGGGACGGCGCGGCGCGGCGTCGCGTCGCTCCGAGAGCTCTCGCAGACCATCCACTCTTCCGCGTTTCATCACTGGCGCCCCCAGCTGACGCGCGACGCGTCGTCGGCCGCGTCGGCGTTCCTTCGCATGCGCCGCCGCCGAATGCCGGCTTGCGACCTGCGACTCCTCTCCTCGGCCGCGACACTGACGGTGGAGCCGGCGGAGGTCGTTCGACGCCGAGACGCCGAACGACGAGGAGTAGGACATAACATAGAGTATAACGGATGATAACGCTCGTGTTTCCTCTCGTGCTCCGTTGTCGTTGCGGCGAGGCTCCGACGCATATAGGCTTTGCAAATGTCTACCTCCGCCCAGTGGATCGGCGTCGGCCGGCGTCCTCGGCATTCGGTACGCGCAGACCCTCCACTCGCCGTGCTGTCGTCACCGGGCGACTCAGCTGATGCAAAATGGCCGACCAAGCGCTGACAGCTGAAGCGGAAAGCCGGGCCCTTATCGAGAAAGACGCGACGCGGAGCGTGGCCGAGATCGTCTCGGCGTCCGATGCGCGGGCAGTCGTCCCCCCGTAGCGAGCTTTCGCCGAAATACGACGTATTTCGCGAGAAACGCGACGCAGTATGGTATCGCCGGGGCGCGGGGAGGGATCGGGGGGAGCGGGGCGGGCAGCGACGGGAACGTCTCGCGGAGCGTCGAGCTTTGCTCCGCGCAACGGCGATCGGTCGCTCGCGTCGGTTTCGTCACCGCCGCGCCGCGCCGCGCCGCGCCGCGCCGGGCTTCTCAGCTGACGGCGAAAAACAACCGTCCCGGGCGTGCGTGGCCGGCGTAGCGTCGGCAACAGCTGACCGCCGCCATGACGACTCGGGAATATGGATTGAACGCTACGCACCGTCGTCCGCCCGAATCGTCCATATGTCTGAAAAAGAAAGCGATCTCGCGAAAGCGGCATCTCGGCATATCGAGGGTATATTCGCGCGAGGGCCGAGGGCCGAGGGGTACGCGGACAAAGTTGGCGTCGCTTCGTAGAAACGCCGAGTACGCACGCCCGTCGGCCTCCCGCGGGGAGAGGGAGGGGGAATCGCGGTGGTCAGGGCGGGGGAGAGAGAGAGAGAGAGGGAGCGAGAGAGGGGTAGGTAGGGGGGGCGTGAAAGCGTGGTGGAGTGGAGCGTCTGGTCGAGCGAGCGCTCTTTGCCTAGGCTACGAAGCCTGCGATTTTTTCCCGTTCGTCTCGTTGTCCGGGCGGCGGGCCAATCGGAGTAAGTAGGTCAGCGCGAGCGGCCAATCGGCGCGCGAGGCCGGGTCACGTGGGTTTGTTGTTATCTATCAGCTGTTTTTCCCGGACGGGCGGGCGGCCGGCCGGCGCAGTGAAAGCCGCTTGGCACCAGTCTGTCCTCAGTCCCTCCCGGTCGCTCAGCTGTGCGTCACATGTCGGGCGCCGCGAGAGAGTATCCTACTCCCGTGCGGATCGCTGTTAAACGTACGAGTCTAACGACCCGGCTAGGACGCCGCCGTCTAGCACCGGACCCCCGTCTAACGTCGGCGCGCGTTAGCCACGTATTATTATGCTGTCAGCCGTGTGCACGCCAGCGCATCGCCACGAATCGATCACGAAGTGCCTCGAATATGCGGACGGCGTGACGAACGCGGGCGACGGTGCACGCCGCTTTGTTGATACGCTGAGTTCTGTGTTCAGGCCGCGGAGGCCGCCGCGTCCCTACACCTACACCGTTTAAGAGCGCGCGGATAACCCTTGTCCTTCGGCGACCGCGTCTTCCTCCTCCCCCTCCCCTGTCTCCCCCCGGCGCGCGCGCGAGAGAGTTTTAAACACTGCCACCGCCGCCGTCGGTGGCAGGTACACGACCGACGGCGCGATTGGTGCGTGACGAAAAAAGCTGGTCGGTACGATGACCTAAAGCGGGATGAAAGAAGGATAGAGCAGGGATCTCCGAGAGCGCGAGAGAGCGGGCGAGAGAAAGGGAGGCCCCCTTGGGGATTTCACGGTGGGCCACATAGTCGTTTAAAGGGATCCGACTCTTTCCTTTCGGGAGTGTGCGTGTCGTGCCACGTCTCGCAGGCGTGCGCGTCTTCGTCTCGCGCACTTGGATTTTTGAACTTGTGCTCCGCGCGTGTGCTCGGTGCTCCGACGAGCGTCAAAGAGAGAGAGAGAGAGAGAGGGATTGCGGGACAGTCGAGTGGACAGGAGCATGTGAAGGAACAGAAAAAGTGTTTCGTCGCGTGAATGTTTCGCGTCGCGTCGCCTCGCGCAACGGGACTCCGCGCGAGAAAACGATCGGCGAGAACGATCGAGTGATCCTCCACTGCGAAGAAGAAGAAGAATAATAAGAAGCAGCAGAAGCAGAAGACGAGAGAGAAAGAAGTGATCCGCGCGAAACCGAGTGATATCGCGTCACCTGGTAGAAGCCGCGAATAATGTCGACGGGCAAGAGGCTGGCGAAGCGCAGCATTATCGGCACCAGGGTGTGCGCTCCCGGCCAGGACGGCAAGTACTATAGCGGCGCCATTTGCGCGGTGAAGACGCCGCAGGCGGCCGAGTCGCCGGGCCAGAAGAGCGGCGTCACGCCGAAGACTCTGTACACGGTGCGCTTCGACATCACCGGCGGCAGTCCGCCGAGCCCGAAGGAGTACGCGGACCGCGATCTCATCGGACCGGGCTTCGGCTCCGTCACCGGCGCCCGGCTGGTACCCGGTCAGAAGGTTTATCTAACGTACAACGGTAGGGAGATCCACGCCGAGGTCACGGAGCATCGCCAGCATCTCGACGAGGTGGACGTGGTCATTGCCCCGAACGGCCAGGAGGTGAGTCCGTCGGCAAGTTACATTATGCGTATGTGCGTGCATGCACATGTGTCTATGTGTGTGTCGCCAACTTCTGATCGCCCGCGACGCGCGGATCGCACACGTGTGACAAGTGGTCGAAACTTTATCGATGCCACTCGCGCGGAATGGTAAATGTCGCGCGCGCTGTGAAATTGAAATTCTATATTGTACATTTAATTAGATATGCATATATATATATTCAAAACAATTTGGTTATCGTTTTCTTCGTGTACATACACATATACGTGTATCGAATCAACGATGAATGTTGTTCGCGGCAGCGATTTCGTTATCGCCGTAAATTGAGTTTCAGAAAGACCTCGCGATACTTGTCGAGGTTTAAAATCTTGTAAAAATCTCGGGAGTCGGAAATTGCATGCGCGTTAATTTTCTCGATAAAGTACTTTCGGTGTTCTAACTCTCGGCTGACTCGGAACCGCGCGACACGCGACGTTCTTAAAAATTAACTATAAGAGAGCGGAGTTTCGAGAGAGAGATCGAGAGCCGCGGATAACAGGAGCTTGGCGTTTTCGTTCGCCTTGAAAGCGCGAATTCGAAAGTAAAAGCGTCGCGACTTCGCGCCATCGCGTCGCGTCCCGCGGCGCCCGCGCCGGTTATAGACTTTCGCGTCCACGCGATATTTGAGTATTCTTGGCGCGTAGCGGGTTAACGATCCTTAAGAAGATTAACGAATCGAAGGCGTAATATATCGTGCGTACTCGCGCGGCGCATACGAGATATGGCGTCACATCCCGGGTGGACTCTCGCTCGCGCGCGTCACGAGAGCGAGCCGGGTTATACGCGCGCTACGCGCTTGCGCGCCCGCTAACGCTAACACGCACGACGTATAATCGCACGACGATCCCGCGTGCACGCTGCCGCCCGGCTTCTCGGCGAGATAGCGGAGAGTGGCGTAAAGAGTAACCACGCTCTCGACGACGCGGACGCCCTGACGACGTCGACCGATCCAAGTCACAGGATCCAAGCGTGATCTAATTTCGTCAGGTGATACATAGCCCCCTAACGACGAAACGAATACGTTCCGATATCGACGATTTAGACCCCGCCGAACGATTTAGAGCCGGCATCGAGCAAATCGAGCTTTTTACCCTTCCCTCCCTTCCCCCCGATCGAATCCGCGCGCGCGGTATATAAAAGCTTTTATATCCCGGGCGACGTCCGGATAAAGATACACGGAGCTATTAAAAAAGAAAGAAGAGTCGTGAAACACGTCGCGTCGGCGCGGCCGACGACGGGGACGCCGATGTGCGCGCGTGTGTCGTTAATCAGAAAATTTAATTTTCGTGACCCCGTTCCTAAAGTGGACGATCGAGTGGCTTGCCCCATTTACGCGGTGCGCATGAGCGTCATCCTCCTTCTCTCTCTTTCTCTCTCTCTTTCGCTCTCTTTTTCTCTTTCTCTCTTTCTCTCTCTGTCTCTCTCTCCCTGTCTCTCTCTCCCTCTGCGTCGACGGGATAGATGGCGGGTGGGAAGGAGGGAGGGAAAAGCTTCACCTCGTCACGCGTTGCATCCCAATTCGAGCGTTGGTAGAACGCCGGCTCCGTCACCGGAGAATCCAACCGCCGCCGCCGCCACCACCACCTTTTAACCCTGTTTCGCCTCTCGCCTATACCACCTCTAGTGGAAACAAGTCTCGCTTCTCGCGAAACAGAAAATTCAGGGAGGCGCGTGTCGACGCGGAGCAAATTCTAAAACGTTTAATTTTTAGAGAGCTTATTTCCTTCATTGGAAAATGACCAATGGTACAAAATGATCTGATAACATAAATTGTATTATTATATGCTTATCGCGTCAGAACTTTTTCTTTAAACCTGCTTGCGAATTCTCGTTTATGACTCTGGCTGTTTGTTGATCGATATGTACGAATTCCTTGAGGAAATATAAATAGCCTAATTTTGTCTAATTTTGTCACTTGAGCCGTGGCTATAAATTTTTGGGGAGAACTTTGGGAACTGAGAAAAAACATAAATAAAAAACAAAAGGAGTATAGTTTGAAGTTTAACTCGTTAGGGTTTCTTTTGAGGTACACATGTAAACGTTATTTTAATTTACTCGAAATTATCATATATTTGCATATATATTGGGGGGACGCGTTCCCCTCGGCCCGCCCCCCTCCTCCGCCGCGATTTTACCTTCCCTTATTTAGGCAAAAATGTAGATTTTTTTTACGAATACAATAACTATATTTATCTTATCTTTATGTTTTCTTATAATTTTTACTGAAGTTAATAAAAATATATATCGATATTATAAATTCTCCGAAATTTAATTTGAACTGCGTCATACTTACAATTGGTGGCGAAAATTATTTTATGAAATTAATATTAGAAATGCTACAACACGTTCGTTGAATAACATAAAATAAATTAACATGGAGAAAGTAGAGATTTTTTTTTTAGAGCAATGTTATATACTGTCGCGCTATCGATATCGATGTCGCCGTGCCAAATGCAGTGCGAATTTACGAAGCCGGGCCAAGGAACGTCTCGCCACGGACTTGAGACGGTAAAATTGAAAGTCGATAAGCGGACGGGTTAACGAGTGGGTTAACCGAGGGAAACGCTTCTCGTGTCGTTGACGTCACACGATGCCGTATACTGCGTATACACGATGCGCGCGATCCGTCAATTTTCTCGCCGGCGGAGCCGACTCGAATTACGTGCCATCCCGCCGCATCCATTTTTGCACGCTCGCGGAATTGCGGCGCAAGTATGCCGCGATAAATGCCGTTTAACGCGTGAGGCATAAAACCGTTGAAAAATAAAAATTTCAATTAGCGCAATTATTTCACACTGTTTATTTGTACCGTGAAATATTTGCTTCTAACACGCAATGTGGCAGTAACAGTTTATTAGGCGTAAATAATAATTTATAACAATAGGTATTGTCGTAAATTCGATTTCTGAATAAATTAGCCCACGGTAATCGGTTTTTAATGAGATCGATACGCGACATTCGCAACGTTTGATAGAAAAAAAACCTCAATGTCGACCCGTAGATTAAATCCCCTCTTTAATCCCCACTCACGGCAAGTGATACTCGTCAATCCCTAACAACATCCGAGGCTTATATTCATCCATCGGAATTTCCCAACAGTAGAGAGAGGGAGCGGGGGGGGGGAGGGATTTCTTTTTATCCCTCGGCTATAATACATATATACCATTACGCTCGGTGAAGCGTGCCGGAGGAATACGCGTAGTCGCGATACCGCTACGTAGGCACGGTAAGATTCGTAATGAGAGGCACTGCGGCCGGCGGCGTGCGAGCGTGCGAGCGAGCGCGGCTCTATTGCGCCCGCGAAGCGGATACGGTAGTACTCGCCGGTGCACCGGCTACCGGGGTGACCCCACGTGGAACGCATTAACGCAATATCTCTCTACCTCCGTTAGACAGCTCAGGCGTGACCGGCGCGGCGGCTCGGCTCCATTTCGCAGAAAACCGCGGTGCGCCGTGGAAAAACGAACCGGATCCGCGCAGTACGCCGCGCGCGCGTCCGGTCTCTCGCGACTCTTATTGTATCTTCCCCTCCCCCTCTTCCGTTGCCTCCCCCTCCCTCCCTCCTCCTACTCCTCCTCCTCCCCGCCCGATTGTGGCACAACGCGGTGCTGCTTCGACCGACGATCGCTCGACCGACCGTTGGCGCGTCTATGATTTACGATCGAATTCCTGCGACAAATGCGTGATATTTTGTGCCGCGTAGCAACGTCGGCGCGGAGGCTGCTATTACCGGTATCCGGCTGTGATTTTTGTGTCAAACGCCCAGGCATCAACGTTACGTGAGCTTCTTTCCATCTTCTTTTTTTCTTTCTCTCTTTACCTTTTGGCGAAACCTCGCGATCTTGCAAGACATGCATGCACGGAGTCGACGTTTCCGTTACACGCACGCGTGTTGTAAACGCACGATCGCGGCGTGTGCACCGATTTCCCGGGAATCGTGAGAGGTTTTAATGCCCCGGCCGCGGCCGCGGCCGCGTCGACGTCGACGTCTGCAACTCTAATCGCTAGGCGCCGCGATTAAATGGCCCGATAGTACTCCCCAAGGCGTATAGTAACGATCTCTCAAACGATTCGTAGGCATTTCGCTTTACATGCGTAATATAGATATAGGCGGATATCTATCGCGCCAGGCAGAAGCGCGCGAGTGCGCGACGGATTTTTAACGGCGCCGAAGGTCGCTCAACCGTGAATCGGTAAATAGCGGTGGCTGTTTGCTCCATAGTGTAAATACGCGTAGGCGGTAATTTTCGAGGCTTCCGTACGTTTCTGTAGTATCTTCGCGCGCGCAACTTTATGCGACGCGGACGTGCACAGATATATATTTTCGTGCACACTCACGTACGTCAGTTTACGAAATGTTAATTCACCATTAACCTTTAGCTGGCCGGGCCAACCGAGTTACATACCTGTGTGCACTTTCGAACTGCCGTGTAATTTTGCAAATTAACGCTTCCCCATTAAGCCCATTTTTAACATAAACAGTCGTCACGGTAACGTTTAAACTTCAGTTACTTATCGAAGTGTAATGCACGCAATCTTCTTTTTCTTTAATATAAAAGGAGACGCGAAGACGAGGAAATAAAATATTTATCGCACAGATGTGCGGTCCGTCAGGTTAATGACGTAAAAGCAGCTGAGCTAAAGGTTAATGACGTAAACGATTGACGTTATATGTTTTGGACGCGCGTGAAATCGTGAAACGCGCGAAGAAAAATATTATTCCACGATGTTGTTGAAATTTGAATACAGACAGAAGGAATAGCACGACACTAATTTTAATTACTAATCGCGCATTCTATAAAACGTGATAGACGCGTGGTGGCACGAATTGCGAAATACATCAGTATCAAATGTTGAGCTCGACATCTCAGGAATGACTAATACAAGCGTGTTTCCGTGCCAAAAGATCTCGACGACAGCTTTAGTCCGTTCGATCACTCGTCACAGTCGTCACGTTTTCC